ATGATATGAAATCATGCATGATAAAAGAATCCATTCAACGTGCAAGGTAGACCAGTGGATTGTAATGTAATAGAGTAGAGAAAGTTCATCTACAGGGATTGTTCCCTGAAAAAAAAACCTACCACTTGGTCAGCTTGCACCATCTTTAAATACTTCCACAAAAACAACATATGGAGGAGATTGAATACGGAAGCAAATATGAGAATCCAGCTATTTCTATTAAACCGGACATTAAAAAGATTTTCATAAACACGTAAGACTCAATAAACTCGCTAAACCTTTATGGTCTCCAGGTGCTGCGCGCGCAGTCCTGGGGGCGTCGGCAGGAGCCCGCTGGGCGCAGGGAGAACTCCGCGCAGAGCCTTCTGGGAGTTGTAGTTTTCCGCCCTTGGGCCGCGAAGACGCAATCCCTTCGCGTCGGTAACGGCTGCCATCGCTCGGCGCCAGTGGGCCGAGACTTATTTGGGCGGCGGCGCAGTTCATTACGTTTCGCCATCCCCTGTCACCGAGTCTGCCCCCGTCTGGCCCAAGGGCCGTTGCAAAGCACCTGGGCCGGGCACTGCGTGGTGAGGGCGAGGACGGAGCCGGCCTGGCGCGAGCCCTGCTGGCTGCAGATCGGCAGGTGGAGGCGTCGGGGTCCCCCGCTGCCCGTCAGGGGCTGGAGGAGCCCGAGGCGGCGGGACGGGACCGAACTAGTGTGGCTGCACTCTTTCCTGCTGCAGACCCGGGCGGCCGCCTGACTCGACCCTGTGTGTTGGCGGGGGCCGGAGACGGGACGGTGCGGCCGTGCCAGGGGGTCTCGGCTCCGGGACGGGCAGGCCTCCCGGCCGGCGCGGGCCTCCCTCCGGGGTGGGAGCTGCGGGGAGACCGCGTCCTTCACGGCGCCTTCCCTTCCAGCGTCCCTCGCGTTGCCTCCTCCGGCGAGGCTCGCAGCACTGCCCGCGGGGATGGCCGCCAGGGTGCGGACAGCCTCCGTCTGGGTGAGTAGCTTCCTTTCGTTCCTGAAAAGCCCCCTGAACGCGACGTGTGCGCACGCCGTCCCCTCCGGTGTCTAAGCTTGAGTTCCTCGCCCCGCCGCTCTTCCGAGCGGCTGGACCTCTTGAGAGGGCGCTAGCCTTTCCAGAGACGCTTCCTGTCTCAGCCTCTTCGCTTCCTCCTTGCTTCAGTCTCTTTCCTGCGAACTTTATACCGTGAATTTTGAGTTGACAAGGGTAATCACCTTTCAGTTTCTTTAACCCGTATTTCGTGAGTGTCTTCTATGTCTCACATCTTTTGAGTTTCATTTTGGAAATTACGCTCTTATTTATTCACTTATTCAACAGTTTTGTTTATTGTTTTTTGTTTGCTGGACCCCGGGACAGGTTCTGAGAGTGCAAAGATGGGTTGTTCATTAACCCTTCATTGGAAGAGCAGTGGTCTGACGGGAATGGTGGGTAAGAAAAGCACAGTGGCCAGGTAATAGGTACTCTGGGAGCGGGCCGTGGAAGGACTTGGGAGACAGAGAGTAAGTAGAGCGTGTCCGTTTTAGAAGTCAGGACACCCCAAGGAGTGCTTCAGAGATTTGGAGATTTTTAAACTGAGGTTTGAAAGATGAATGAGGTGAACAAGGGGTTGAAAATCAACCTAGGAAAAAGAAGCAACATGTGCAAATTTGAGAGGCTTGAAATGACCTAGTATGGTGAACTTTGAGTGCTGTAGAGTTGCTAGACTGTAGACTTTTGGAGTTTAATGATGATGGTAGAGGTGTATATTAAGAAATGAGGCCAGAGCCGTAGGCAGATCATCATAGAGGACTTTGAGATTGCCATTAAAAACTTGAATTTTTAATGGGGAGGGAAAATTATTGAAGTGTTTTCACAAAGGATTTTTGGATTGGACAGTCTGCAGCAGACAAGAGAAGATAAGAGTTTAAGTAAGCTGGTGGTTTTCAGAAACTAGAGGTAAAAAGGCAGAAGCAGCCAGATTTGGTAACTAGTTGGGTGCTGGTGGTAAGGAGAGTTGGAAGAGCCAGGGATGAGCGCTGGAGTTCTGCTCTGTGGGCCTGAGTTGAGTGTGACATCATTCCCTGAGCAAGGGAAGACGATCAGAATAGTGATGGGGTGAGGGGTGGGGGATTTCAGTTTCATATGGATTGGACCCTCCAGGTGGAGGTTGCTGGCGGACAGGTGGGTAGGCATGTGTCTCAAGAGAAAGGTCTGGATGGGGTTACACTGATTTAGTGTGGCCAAACGAGAAGAGAACTGAGTATACTGCTCAGGGAAATGACAACAAGGGAAGGCAGGGGAAGAGATGTTGGAAACTGAGATGGAGCCCAAGAGAAATGATAGAAAATAAGGAGAGACTTGTGTTTCAGAGTTAAGGAAACTTAAAAAAATGGTTGTCATGTAAGATATATCAGGGAAATCAATTAATATTAGGTCACTATCTTAGTCCTTTGTGCTGGTATAACAAAATATCACAAATTGGGTCATTTATCAAGAAAAGAAATTTATGTTCCCACCATTCTGGAGGCTGGGGAGTCCAAGATCAAGGTTCTGGCAGATTTGGTGTCTGATGAGAGCTGCTCTCTGCTTCCAAGATAGTGCCTTCTTACTCATCCTCACCTGGCTGAAGGGGACTAAAAGGGAAGAAGGCTGTGTCCTCACATGGCAGAGGAGATGGAAGACCCAGGTAGCTCTCTGAAGCCTCTTTTATAAAGGCATTAATCCTGTTCACAAATGAGAGCCCTCATGACTTAATCACTTCCCCCAAAGCCCCATCTTCTATAGCACCACAGTGGGGATTAAGTTTCAACATAAATTTTGGAGGGAAGCACACATTCAAACCATAGATGTCATAAAAGTCTAAATTGGGTTTAGTGGTGATGGTAGTGGTGGGTGTTGCTGGAAATATTTCCAGAGCAGAGTGTGAGTGTGTACATGTGGTAGATAGTGGGAACAACAATTGGCAACAGAAATGGGAATGAGGCAGTAGAGACAGTGGTCTAGACTTAATCAGGGTGCTCTGTCATGATGGAAAGAGATTGGTAGCTGGAGGAGAATCTATTAAGGTACCCTAGTAGAAAATCAGTCTAAAAATCAATAGGTTTTCTATTTATAAATAGTATCTATCTAGAAAATATAATGAAGGAAATTACTCTGTTTATAATGACAGAATAAAAGATGAAATTACAACCAACCTGAAAAATGTAGATGACTAATACAAAGAGAGCTTTAAAACTTGAATAATACTAGTCAACATTTAGGTGGTGTTTACTGTGTTCCAGCTACAGGTCTAAGCACTTTATGGGTACTAACTGTAATCCTCACAGCAGCCTCATGAGGGAGGTACTAATGTTAGCCCCATTTACAGATGAGGAAATCATGACAAAGAGAGGTAAAGTGATTTCCCAGTATCACACAGCACATAAGTAGCGGAAGACAGAATTAAAACCAAGGCAGTCAGGCTCCAAACTCAGTTCTTAATACTACAGTATATACCCCTCTCAAGATAAAGAGCGCCCTAATAGATACAAAATGTACCCCTTGGCTTTTGAAATGTCTGTTAAATGTTTATTGAGCACCTACTATGTGTCAGACCTTGCAGGTCCCAGGCTTGTGATGATGAGCAAGACTGATGGAATCCATGCTCTTGGGAGGGAGACAGATAGCAATAAAGACACTGGACAAAGTGGAGAGATGTTTGAAGGTAGAGTCCTCTTTTCTAAGACCTAGCTTATTCTTTTCATCTTGTTGATTGTCATTTTTTAGAAGGTTTGTTTTCTTTACATATTCCTGTTTTTTGCCATTTCAACCAAATATTATGCTCAGTGTCTACTATGTGTGAGGTTCTATACACCTTAAAACCTCACAGTAGCCCCAGGTGGTGACACTATTATTCTCCTTTGATGAGTGAGGATACTGAGACCCAGAGGGGAGTCAGAAGCCCAGTGGCACCCCTGGTCAGTGCAGAGCCAGGACTTGAACCCAGGTGGTCTGACCCTACACCCAGTTCCCTGGCCAGTGCACTCTTATTGCCTCTGCACGTAGTTTGAGAATTTCTCAAGAGACAGAGACTCTAGGATTCTGGGCCCTGATAATAATTACCATTTACCCAAAAAGAGTCTTGTCCTTGGATCCAGGACCAGATGAAAGTGACAAAAGCAGGTCCAGTAAAATACCTCACTGTGCCTGAGGCAAAGTGGGTAGACCTTACCTAGTGTAAACGGAAAAGGCTCCGAGAGGTCAACAGTTGTTTTCCAGGGAATAATCTGAATGTCCATTAACTGGTGAAAGTGTAAACAAAGTGGAATCCTACTCAGCAATAAAAGGAACAAACTATTGATACATGCTGTTAGCAAGAATAACCCCTAGAAGCATTATGCTAAGTGAAAGAAGCCAGACACAAAAGACTAGATATTATATGATCCCATTTCCATGGCAGACACATACATATACACATACAGGTACTTTCCCCTTCTGTTTTTACACAGACACTAGCTTTCTGTATAGACTATTCCTAACCCTGCCATTATATCACCAAGAGTGTATATTGATCATTCAGTATCCGTACATAGAGATTGTTCTCTCTCTCTCTTTCTTTTGTTGGCTGTATGATCTTTCAGTGTGTGGATGGACAGTATTTATTCAACCATTTTTCTAGTCATAGATATTTGGGATGTAAAAAATGCCTCTGTAAACAGCCTTTTCATAAGTAATTTCATTGATTGTTTATCTTTCTCTCAGATTCTTTCTTTCTTATTATATTTAGGCTTTCTTCACTTTTCACCCATGCTATCCTCTAGGTCCTGTGGTGTTTTTTTTATGTTCCTTCTAATTTAGTTTTCATTTCTAGATTTTTTTTCTAATTCATTTCTTAGTTCTAATATTTCTCACTTCATATTTTCCAGTTTTCTACTCATCTACTTTCTAGGCTGTTTTATTTTTGGTTTATTTGTCCTTTCAAAGTTTTTTTTCCTGATTTCTTTTAGTTCATTTTGAAATATTAGGTTATAGTTTGTGTGTGTGTGTGTGTGTGTGTATGCGCGTGTGTGGCACCAGATATTTGGGATATGTTTTCATTGTCTGTCAGAGCCTCATTTGGTTCCCTTTCCCTCACAATACTAATGTGTTTTTTTTTGTTTTTGTTTTTATTTGGGGAGGGGATTTCCAGTTTAAGTAAGATAGGTTTCCTGGCTTATGAAGAAGCCATTCTGTTTGGGGCAAGAAGTACTTGTTTGAGGGCTGTGATGAACCAGGATATCTTTCTCTTGCTTTACTCTTTGAGATTCCTACCTCTGTGGTCATGAAGGGCCTAAAACATGACTTGACTCTCGGTACTAAGTCTTGTCAGGAAGCCTTTTTTTCTGCCTCTAATCTAGTGATTCCTGGGGTTCAACATACCTTATTTTTAATGTGTTTCTCTAACATTTACATGTTTTATTTTGTTGTTAAATAATTTCTGGAATAAGCTTCCTCTGGATTCTTCCCACTTAATATCTAAACCTTCTCTCTCCCCTCCCTCTTACTAATAGTCTTTCTCTCCTTCCTTCTATCTGGTCCTCTCTTCTGTCCTCCTCACTGTGAGCAGCCCCACACACACACACACACACTGCCTGAGTATTTTTTATCTTTTCTTGTGTTGATCAATATGGTGCATTTTTCTAGCAGCTTTCCCTGAAAGTGAGGGTCTGTATTTCTGGAAGGGACTATTTGCCCATTATTTCTCATATTTTCATGGCTTTAGATGGCCATAGTACTGTTAGGTCGCTTAGTGACTTTAGGAATTTGTATTTATGGTCACCTGCAGCTCTGAACCTGAGAGGAATTCAGTGTTATGTGTTGTAAGACTTGCTTGCTCAGATCCCACCGGGGAGGGTGCTCTTCTGTTGGGGATAGACATTTATCAGTGACTTGGGAGATCCTGCAACAACGTGGCTTGTCAGAATCTGCCCTCATTTCCCACCACTTCCTCTGCTGGCACTGCCCTGTGCCATACCTGCTGCTCTTGTAGTTAGTTGAATCACACCTGCTATATGCTCTGACCCTGTCACTTAGTTTTTGTTTTTGTTTATATAGATATCATGGTTTTGTCTTTTACTGTTCTGGTAGGTCTCTTTTGTTTTCATCAGGAGTTTTGGGGAGATTAAAAAACAATCCTGCAACTCTTACCTCATCCTGCTCTTCTCAGTATTTTAACAACAACAAGAAAGACTCAGAGAGGTGAAGTGAATTGTTCACAGACATCTAAATGGCAAGAGGAGAAGAAATGCTGTTTCATTCAGACTGATGTATACCTACTTAAAACTATGAGTTGTTAACTCCTTAGCATTTAGCATCAGGTTCTCATTTAAGTAGCTGCCCAGAAATTGCTTTAAAATAGAATGAATCTCAGGTATGGTCATTGCACTTTCAGGGGTCCAGGGGGCCCATGCAAAATCTGTGGATGGAACTGTCATCATTGTGCAAGGTTCCTTACGGACATTTCTTCTCACAGCAGCAGCCCTGAGCACACTTTACAGAACACCCAGCCCAGCCTCCATTTAAGTGTGATTCACCAGCCTAAGAGGTTGAGGCCCAGAGGAAACATGCTCACTAAAGTGAGTTGGCTCTTGAGTTCACAGGTCCCACCTCTCCAGGAAGAAGACAGCTCATGTGATAGGATAAGAAAGTTCCAAGTTCAGGAATCCATCCTTGGCCAAGGGACCCCTGACCATAGACCTCTCCCTGGAACGTCCCAGCAGAGTCACTGGACAGAGCAAATCCTAGAGTGGCTGTTTATTTCCCAGGAGCAGCTGAAAAGCACCAAGTCCAGGGTGAGTTTCTTATTTGTTTATTTCCACTTTTCTTTATTACCTTTTTTTTTTTTTTTTTGGTGGAGAGAGGAATAGGGATCCTTAGGTCAAAGGGCTCAGTTTATGGCCTTTTTATCATTGGCTCATATAAGTTCCCTGTCTACAGTTGTTCATATATTCCCTAATTCATACTCAATTTTCATCTCTTTCCTCAACTCCCAAAAATTATGTTGTGTTTTATGTGTGTTATGTATATTTTTTAATGTGTATTTACAAAATATATATTGTCCTAGAAACTTGTTAGAAAAGCAGAATATCAGACTTCATCCCAGTCCTGTTAATATCAGAGTCTTCATTTTAAAAAGATTCAGTGATTCATGCACAGTAAATTTCAAAACAAATTTGATAGGAAATCCATTTTCAAATTTTTACCTGGGGTGCTTCTTTTTTTTTTTTTTTTTTTGAGACAGAGTCTCACTTTGTTGTCCAGGCTAGAGTGAGTGCCGTGGCGGTCGTAGCTCACAGCAACCTCAAACTCCTGGGCTCGAGGATCCTTGCCTCAGCCTCCCGAGTAGCTGGGACTACAGGCATGTGCCACTATGCCCGGCTAATTTTTTATATATATATCAGTTGGCCAATTAATTTCTTTCATATTTATAGTAGGACGGGGTCTCGCTCTTGCTCAGGTGGTTTCGAACTCCTGACCTTGAGCAATCCGCCCGCCTCGGCCTCCCAGAGTGCTAGGATTACAGGCGTGAGCCACCGCGCCCGGCCTCAATATGGTTTTAATTGCATTTCCCTAATGGTTAGTGTTATTGAGCATCTTCTCATGTGTGTTTGCTCTTTGTATATCTTTGGTGAAATGTCTGTTCAGATCTTTTGCCCGTGTTTTAATTGGGTCGTTTTCTTGTCATTGAGTTTTAAGAATTCTTTACATATTCTGGATTGAAGTCCTTTGTTAAAAAAAATTATTTGTAAATATTTTTTTCCTGTCTCTGGCTTGTCTTTTTCTTCTCATAGTCCCATCTTTCATAGAATAAAATATTTTAATTTTGATTAAGTCCATTTTCCCAATTTTAACTTCTAAAAATGGATTGTGCTTTTGATATCATACTTAAAATATCATAGCCCAAACCAAAGTACACAAGTTTTGTCCTGGTTTCTCTAGAACTTTCATAGCTTTAGTTTTCACACTTAAGTCTATGATTCATTTTGAATTAATTTTTATATATAATATGGGGTATATGTCAGATTTCTCTTTTTTGTGTTTATAGATTTACAAGTATTTCAGTACCATTTGTTGACAAACTGTCCTTTCTCCATTGACTTTTCCTTTGTAAACACTTAGGAGACAACATGTGGTTCTTTTTCTAGGTTATCTGTTCTGTCTCATCCATCTATGTGTCTAATCTTTCTCCAGTACCACACTATCTTGATTTTATATTATTGGCTATGAGATTTCCCCACCTTTGTTTTTTTTCAGAGTTGTTTTGGCTATTCTATTAAATAATTTCTTTTCCTTTTCATATGAATTATAGAAACATTATAGATAGCTACCAAAAAGCTTGCTGTGATTTTGATTAGAATTGCATTGAATCTGTATATCAAATCAAGGAGAATTTATATCTGAACAATATGGAGTTTTCCATATTCCATATGGAATTCTGGAATATGGAGTTACCACAGGGTAACTCCCCATTATTTAGATTGTCTTTGATTTTTAGAAATCATTGTTTATAGTTTTGTGTATACAGATCCTACACATTTGTTTTTAGATTTATACTTCTTTTTTTTTTTTTTTTTTTTTGAGACAGAGTCTCACTTTGTTGCCCAGGCTAGAATGAGTGCCGTGGCATCAGCCTAGCTCACAGCAACCTCAAACTCCTGGGCTCAAGCAATCCTCCTTCCTCAGCCTCTGAAGTAGCTGGGACTACAGGCATGTGCCACCATGCCCAGCTAATTTTTTTCTATATATATACTAGTTGGCCAATTAATTTCTTTCTAGTTGTAGTAGAGACAGGGTCTCGCTCTTGCTCAAGCTGGTTTCGAACTCCTGACCTCAAGCAATCCGCCCGCTTTGGCCTCCCAGAATGCTAGGATTACAGGCGTGAGCCACAGCGCCCGGCCTCTATATTTCTTTAATAGATACAGAGTTATCTGTTAAGATAATCTATTATTGAATGAGTTTGGTAATTTGTGTCTTTCAAGGAGCATATCCATTTCATCTAAGTTATCAAATTTATGTACTTAGAGTTGTTAGCCTTTTCATGTCTGTGGGATCAATAGTGATATCCTGTCTTTCATTTCTGTTATTTGTATTTCTGTTTTTGCCTGGACATAAGTTTTCATTTCATTTATGTAAATATCTAGTAGCATAATTGCTGGATTGTATGGTAAGATTATGTTTAGCTTTGTAAGAAACTGCCAACTCTTTCCAAAGTGACTGTGACTATACCACTTTACATTCCCACCAGCAACAAATGAGAGTTCCTGTTGCCCCACGTCCTTCCCCACATTTGGTGGTGTCAGGTTTTTGGATTTTAGCCATGAGGATAGGTGTGTAGTGGTGTCTCATTGTCTTAATTTGCGATTCCCTAATGACACATGATGTTGAACATGCTTCATATGTTCATTTGCCATTTGTATATCTTCATGTTCAGGTCTTTAGTCCCACAGAGTGGCTGCTACCTACAGCAGTTGCCTTTTTAGTCCACCAAGTTTTAACTTGTCTTCTCTTCTCTTGTGTTGGTCACTTCTGTAGTTCCCTTTTACACACTCCACATGACACTGTGAAATAGCATTGCTTACTTCTTCCTTTGTGCCTGTGTACTTTGTATTCCTTTATCCTAGCTTCTATGACTTCCAATTTCATTTGCACGTTTAACTTTTCTTCCCTCTGCAATGCTGAATGCTTTTGGAGGTCAGCACTGTATTTCATTCATTTTTATGCCATTTGCATGTAGTTTAATACCTGGAACCTAGAGGTCAGTAACTGCTGCAGATGTAATGTGACCAGCTGAACCTGTTTGCCTGTGACAGTCTTGCCTTTAGCACTGAAGGGCCCATGTCTGGGGAGCCCTGTATAAGATGGTTCCTAGGATAGCTTGAAAGTTTAAAGAGAGGCTATCTCATGCTAGGCACAGTGGCTCATGCCTGTAATCCCAGCTATTCAGGAGGCTGAAGCAGGAGGATTACTTGAGGCCAGGAGTTTGAGACTAGCCTGGGCAACATACCAAGACTCTGTCTCTAAAAAAATTAGCCAGGCAGGAAAATCACTTGAGCCCAGGAGTTTAAGGCTACACTGAGCTATGGTCCCACCACTGCAATCCAGCATGGGTAACAGAGCAAGATCCTGTCTCTTAAAAAAATTAAATTAAATTAAAAAGAAAAATAGAGAGTATCCCAGTTCTCATATCTTGAATGAGAGAATGACTGAGTTAATGCACATCAATGGATGTGTTCAATATGATTTTTGTTTTTCTCACAAAGTTGAATGTAAATAAAGGATGCCCTAAGTAGTCTGTTGTTTTCCACAAACCTAGTAAAATAACTTGAGATTGGATGGGGTATTCTATTTCAGGGACCATTGTCATTCATGGATGTGTTTGTGGATTTTACCCTGGAGGAGTGGCGGCTGCTGGACCCAGCTCAGAAGCACCTGTACAGGAGTGTGATGCTGGAGAACTACAGCAACCTGGTGTCCCTGGGTAAGTGCTGCCCCCTGAGGAGCAGTGTGCCCAATCTCCAGACTTCCCGTCGTTGGTTGCTGAAACCTGGGGGACTTCTGAAAATAGTTAATGATTTGGGGCTTATGTTTAAGGGCCAGATTTTCTTAGACACCAGTTGATATCAGAGTATGCCAATTGAGTGGCCTTTACTTTGCCAACGTGTAAAAGGGCAGCTTTTCATGCCACCTCTAATCCAGATCTTCTCCATTCTTCAGAATCCATGAATCCCAAGCAGTTTTGTTCCAGGTTCTCTGTGATTTTCTGTTGACAGGGTATCAACACACCAAACCCAATATTATCTTCAAGTTGGAACGAGGAGAAGAGCTGTGGATGGTGCATGCTCAAATCCCAAGTCAGGGCCATCCAGGTAAATGATGCAGATATTTAGATACTTTCCTCCTTATTTAGAATTGGTATGAATTCTGATATGATAAGCTCCTCTTGTCTCAATTATAACCATGCACTCTTAGTTAATCTCCTTGTTGGCATCCTCATTTTCCTTCTTACTGTTTCTTGATAAGAGACTCATTTCATTATGCATTTAACCAAGCTTTTCTGCTTTCCCCTCACTTGATGTAACTTTTATGCCTCTTCTACTTCTGTTCTATTTGTTTTAAATTATATTTTTAGGCCGGGCGCGGTGGCTCACACCTGTAATCCTAGCACTGTGGGAGGCCGAGGCTGACAGATCGCTCAAGGTCAGGAGTTCAAAACCAGCCTGAGCAAGGGCGAGACCCTGTCTCTACTACAAATAGAAAGAAATTAATTGGCCAACTATTATATATAGAAAAAATTAGCCAGGCATGGTGGCGCATCCCTGTAGTCTCAGCTACTCGGGAGGCTGAGGCAGTAGTATCGCTTGAGCCCAGGAGTTGGAGGTTGCTGTGAGCTAGGCTGATGCCACGGCACTCGCTCTAGCCTGAGCAACAAAGTGAGACTCTGTCTCAAAAAAAATAAATAAAAAAAAATAAATTTGGGGGAATGGGCATTTATTGAAACCTTGAAATCTGTACCCCCATAATATGCTGAAATAAAAAAATAAAAAAATAAAATAAATAAATAAATAAATTATAGTTTTTAATTATACGTACTTAAATTCAATAACCACAGCCCCAGCCCAGCTGTTGGTAGATTCTGCCCCTTCCTTGTTTCCCCACGTCAAATAAAGCTTCACTATCATCACTCTGTCCCTTAGGAGCACTTTCCTTAATATTCAATAATGTTTGTGATCCTGCCTGATGCCTTCACCCCAACCCTTGACTTTAGTCACTCCTGCTGAGCCAGTTCTGACGCTGTAGGACTAAACACTTGTTCCTCTCACTTTCTCCTGGGCTTCTTTTGCTCTTCTGAGTCCAAAGGAGACTTTTTTATTTTCTTCATTTTCCTCATATTCTAACTGTAAAGGACTTCTGTTTTATGTCATTTGTGCTACTATAACAAAATACCACAGACTGGGAAATATGTAAAGAACACAAATTTGTTTCTCACAGTTCTGGAGGCTGGGAAGTCCAAGACTGAGATGCTGACAGGTTTGCTGTCTGGTTGGGTCTGCTTTCTGAGTCATAGATTGTGTCTTGTTGCTGCATCCTCCTGAGGGTAGAATGCTGTGGGACAGAAAAAGGGCCACAAAGGGCCTAAGATAGTTCCCTCCAGCCCTTTTAGAAGGCACTAGTCCATAAGGGCCTGAGTTAATCACTTTCTAAAAGGCCCACCTCTTAAAATCACCGCAATGGAGATTAAGTTTCAGTATGCATTTTGGAGGGGATACATTCAAACAGCAGCAACTTCCATTCTGAAGATTTAAATTCTTTTGTTCCTCGACTCATAATCAATAGCCACATTGGTCTCTCATCTGCCATTTGGTCCAGGTTTTGTTTTGTTTTTTAGGGATGGGATCATGTCATGTTGGTCAGGCTAGTCTCAAACTCCTGGACTCATGCAGTCCTCCTACCTTGGCCTCCCAAAGTAGTGGGATTACAGGTGTGAGCCACCGCATCTGCCCTAGTCCTGGTTTTGATTGATCCACTGGCATCTTCCGTGTGCCACTTTGTGGCATCATTTTCAGAAACCAGAATCGTATCTTCCACTGCTCCATAGTCACATACCTTTCTTCTCACCTTTCTTTTCATAGTTTTTTTGTTCTGCTGTTTCTGGTTCTTTTTCCTGGCACTAGGGAGTAAGCTGGAATCTTCCTTCTATGCAGTTTCCTCTTTCTAGTCTTGGTAGAGTCTGTCAGTGTTTTGGTCCTTTAAAAAGAGGTCTTTTAAAGCCTTCATCTTCTCAGTTCCCAGCCCAAATGAGGCAAACATTATTTCATGTGTGTTTCTACTGATTAGCCAGATTTCTTTGTTTTACTCTTTATTCTAATTCATCTTGGATATTACTGTCAGATGTTTCCCTGAGCACCTTAGACAGTCCTTTTGTTACTAGGATTATTTTAGTTGCAATTTTTTTTTTTTTTTTTTGAGACAGAGTCTCGCTTTGTTGCCCAGGCTAGAGTGAGTGCCGTGGCGTCAGCCTAGCTCACAGCAACCTCAAACTCCTGGGCTCAAGTGATCCTCCTGCCTCAGCCTCCCAAGTAGCTGGGACTACAGGCATGCACCACCATGCCCGGCTAATTTTTTGTATATATATTAGTTGGCCAATTAATTTCTTTCTATTTATAGTAGAGACGGGGTCTCGCTCTTGCTCAGGCTAGTTTCGAACTCCTGACCTCGAGCAATCCGCCCGCCTCGGCCTCCCAGAGAGCTAGGATTACAGGCGTGAGCCACCGCGCCCGGCCGTGTTGCAATTTTTGATCAGTTCTAAAGCGGGGCAGCTCTAGGGTCAACTAAGTGATTGGCCCACTAAGTCATCAAGGGCCCATCTAGGTGTGTCAGCATTTTCCTCAGGTTACCTCCCCTAATGGTTACCAGGTGACTGTCGCAGTTCTAGCTGACACATGCAGACATACCAGTGGCTGATGGAATAATAAGAAGGGCTGTTTTTCCCATATGACTCTATCAAGCAGTAAGACCTATTACAGGATGCCCCCAGCAGATTTATCACGTCTGACCAGCTAGATTGTTATCACATGCCCCTTGTCTAAAGATGTCTCTGGCAAGGGAAGTAGGACTATCACTGCCAGCTCTGATAAATTGTGCTTGACCTTCTGGGAGTGGGGACAGGGATAGGGATGGGTCCTCACTTCCCTGACTGAAGCATATCACCTTAAGGATGGGGGTGGAAAAAAATTAGGTTTCTGCTAGCCAAGAAAAGAGCAGAAGAACCTTTGGGTGGGCAGCACTGTCTGCCTGCACCTCCTTGGTTGTCCAGGCAGCAGCCATCACACCCTTCTTCCCAGGCAAATATATACTGTAACCTGTAGTTTTGTTCTTGTACTACATTAATGAAAGTTTAGGATCCTGTTCCTATTCAGACCTGGTAGTAGTTATTTATATTCTGGAGAGCTATAATTAATCTATCTGTATATAGCAATCCAAATATAGAAGGATAGAGAGAAGTACACGGTCCCCTTGTCCCAGAGGACCACAGGAGTGAACACCACATAGATGACACTGTTTTACACTATATTGAAACCCTGGTCAGATAGACTTTGCCAGGACATCTTTCCATGGCAGCGAAGTAAGCTTCCTGGTGAGTGTGTGTTTCTGCTCTCTGAGCATAATTTCCTTCTTTGTCATCTTTTGTGGTTAAACTAGACAGGGTTATTTGGGAAAATGCTTTTCTGTAGCTTCAGAATCTCAATTCACTTGGTGCACATTGGGTTTCCCAGCGATTACTTTTGGACGCCAGCCAGTAATTATGTTTATTATAGTCTTAAATCATGTTTAAGTAATCTTTAAGCTTAAGAATTCCTGTATTCTGGTTACTGGGTTTAGTATCTTTTCCTCATTTCCTGAATTGTTAGTTACCAACCATAATCTTACTTTTGCTATTGTTACTATAATACAAACAGCCTGCTCAACAGAAGATGTATTAGATGTCCTGGGAAATCAAATGATGATTTGATGTGGGATCCAAGCAAAGATAAGAATGGGTGTGGTACCAGCAATAGAAGAATCAGAAGGATAAAATATAGGATTTGATGTTTAGAACAGCTTCAGTGTCCATGAACTCTGAAAGTCTATGAGGGTAATACTGACAGCCAAACATAGGAGCAAATCTGATTCTAGGGCAAAGAGACTCACTGGCCTATTTTATTTTTGATAGAGACATTTTTGACTATAGGACCATTTTATAACTAGTAATACTCCTTCCCAAGCTATTGTGATAGCCAAAATGCCAATTTTCATTTCTCAGTGTATCCCGAGGAAGATTCTATACCAGTTAGGAATTGATGTCTGGGGAGATATAATTTGGTGGTTGTGTACAAAATGAATGAGACAGATCAGATTTGATAGGTAGGAAAACAACTTGCCTATTTTTTCACAGGAAACTTTGAATGAGGTGTTAAGATTAGGGAATCTTAACAGGTGTTAAGATTAATCTTATTAACCTTATTAATCTTAAGGAGGTGTTAAGATTAGGGTCTACTATCTCCAAACCTGACTTGCTCCTTTGTTATCTTAATGTCCTTTTCTGTTCATTACCCTGATGAACATGTTACTTTGGGGCACCTAAATTGACTATACTAGTTCTCTATTCAGCCTCCAGATATTTGCTGTTGTGTCTAAGGACTTGATCCTCTGTCTTATTTCCTATCTACTTTGCATCTTTGACTTTTGTTTTTATGTTAAAACAATGGTCTGCTTATCCTGTGCCCTGTTTTCCATTCTTGCCAGAGACAACTACTTTCATCTCTTTTAACTCTTTCCTATAGTGTTTGCCTCCATATTTCTAAACAACCGGATTATTCTCCTGCACCTTGGCTTTTCCTCCTAATATCAGTCAGTATAGAAGGGTGATTTAATTCTTTCTCACCCTGCTCCCTCCATACCTTCCCACCATATATGTACTGTCTCTCTCCATGCCTCCATCATGCTAATACAGTAATTTCATATTTGTGGTTAGATGAGTCTTCAGTTTTTACATTATTATGATTATGTAATTTCTGTTTCCAGGTAAATCATGCAGGTACACAATGATTAATTTTTGCTTATAGATTTTTATTTTTCTGTGGTTGTTTTATTTGCCTGTTTAATTTTTTCTGTTATCATTAATGTGTTTATCTTTAATTTAAGCTCAGACTCCATTTGATGTCTAAGTATTCTTGGTTGGTACATTCAACCAAATCATTAATTCTATGCATTTCATTTTCCCAACTCTTTGGGAACCCACTCCCAACTCTTTCTGACTTGCTGCAGTGGCACCTAGTTTTTCTCAATGCCTTCTGTACAATTTTTATCCTGGGATCTCCTCTTTTGTTTTCTTTTTTGTGTCCTCTTTCATGTTTTTTCTTGATTGGTTTTGTTGGAGCACTTTCCCCAGGAGTTTCCTGTGAAAGGCTGCATGTGATATAAATGTGGAGACTTGTGCATCTGAAATTGTTTTTACTTCACTTGTCATTGCTCTATTTTATATCCTTTAGTGTTTCTAATGATAAGTCTGCTGCCATTCTAATTTTTGGCCCATTATAAGAAACTTTTGAGGTTTTTTTTTTCCTCTGGAAGCTTTTAGGAGCTACTTCTTGTCCCAAGTGTTCTGAAACTTTATGATGATGTTCCCTGTGAGTCTATTTTGATCCATTTGTTCAGGTATTCAATGAAATGTTATTCTCAAGAAGACTGGGAATTAATCTACAGTGTTCTATCTCTTTTTTCTATAGGTTAGCAAAGAGTTTGGCACATAAATAGGGGTTTGATAATTATTTGACAAATGACTCTAATGTTCAGAGATCTCCTATAACCTCTTTATATTGTACTTATTGTTCTATGTGCCTGTTTTGCCTTCTTTATCCATTATGTAAAACTTTTAAACTTAAACAATCTCAGTTTACTATGCTTCTTTTCTTTTTCTTTTTTTTTTTTTTTTGAGACAGAGTCTCACTTTGTTACCCAGGCTAGAGTGAGTGCCATGGTGTCAGCCTAGCTCACAGCAACCTTAAACTCCTGGGCTCAAGCGATTCTGCTGCCTCAGCCTCCCGAGTAGCTGGGACTACAGGCATGCGCCGCCATGCCCGGCTAATTTTTTCTATATTATTAGTTGGCCAATTATTTCTTTCTGTTATATAGAGACGGGGTCTTGCTCTTGTCAGGTGGTTCCAACTCCTGACCTTGGAGCAATCCGCCCGCCTCAGCCTCCCAGAGAGCTAGGATTACAGGCGTGAGCCACCGCACCCGGCCTTCTTCTTTTCTTTTTTTTTTTTTTTGAGACAGAGCTCGTTTTATTGCCAGGCTAGGAGGAGTCGTGGGTGTCAGCCTAGCTCACAGCAACCTCAAACTCCTGGGCTCAACATCTCCTCCCTCAGCCTCCTGAGTAGCTGGGACTACAGGCATGTGCCACCATGCTCTGCTAATTTTTTCTATATATATTAGTTGGCCAATTAATTTATTTCTATTTAGAGTGGAGATGGGGTCTCACTCTTGCTCAGGCTGGTTTCAAACTCCAGCCTGACCTTGAGCAATCTGCCCGCCTCAGCTTCCCAGAGTGCTTACGCTTATTTTCAATTTTAGTTTTTCTTTGTTTTCTACAGTGCCCAATAGTTTGGGCATGTTTATACTTGAAGTTTTATTTTTATTGAGGTATTTATTTTATTTTATTTTATTTATTTTTATATTTATTTTATTTTATATTTATTTTATTATATTTTATATTTATTTTATTGAGGTATTTATTTTATTGAGGTATTGTTTTATCTGATATATGAAACTAAAAGAGAAATCTCATGATATGGCATTTTAAGGCACTTTTATGCTATAGCAAGATCATGTTTTTATCTACTTATTTACTAGATGCAGGGTCTCTGTTGCCCAGGCTGGAGTGCAGTGGCCCAATCATAGCTTGCTGTAACTTCAAATTCCTAACCTCAAGTGATCCTCTCACCTCAGCCTCCTGAGTAGCTGGCACCACAGGTGTGTGCGACCATGCCTGGCAAATTTTTAAATTTTCTTTCTAGAGGTTTGGTCTTGCTATGTTGCTCAGGCTGGTTTTGAACTCCTCGCTCAAGCAGTCCCTACACTTTGGCCTTCCAAAGTGCTGGATTATAGGCATGACCACTGTACCTGACCTCATGTAATTATTTATAACATATGACTTATTATTTTCATTTCTAGATAAAGTCTGGGAAATTGATGATCACATCAAATGGCATGCAGAAAACCAAGGCAATCTGGGAAGTATAGCAAAAAGCTGTGAATGCATTGCATTTGGAAAACTATGTTTTCTTGGTACAAATTATGTTTCCTCAAAGCAGAAACCTCATACATGTGGCATACATGGAAAGAGTTTGAAATATGATACAGATTTTACTAGTAATTATGCTGGAAAGAATCCTAATACATTTCATGTACATCGGGAATCATTCCTCCATTCCAAACATGAGCAAACTGTTATTGGAATAAAATACTGTGAAAGTAATGAATCTGAAAAAGCTGTCAATAAGAAGTCACAACTTACGTGCCAAAAAACATATATGGGAGAAAAACCTTTTGAATGTAGCTACTGTGAGAAAGCCTTCAACAGTGAGTCATATCTTACAGTGCATCAGCAAACTCATGCAGAAAAGAAACCCTATCGATGCAATGAATGTGGGAAAGACTTCAGCAGTAAATCTTACCTCATGGTACATCAGAGAATTCATACAGGAGAGAAACTTCATGAATGCAGTGAATGTGGGAAAACATTCAGTTTCAATTCACAACTCGTTATACATCAGAGAATTCACACAGGTAAAAATCCCTATCAGTGCTGTGAATGTGGGAAATTCTTCAGTAGGAAAGACCAGCTTGTTTCACACCGGAGAATTCATTCAGGACATAAACCCTATGGTTGTAATGAATGTGGCAAAACTTTTGGTTTGAAATCGCAGCTCATTATACATGAAAGAATTCATACAGGAGAGAAACCATATGAATGCAGTGAATGTCAGAAAGCCTTTAATACAAAGTCAAACCTTATGGTACACCAGAGAACCCATACGGGGGAAAAACCCTATGGTTGCAGTGAATGTGGCAAAGCATTCACGTTCAAATCACAACTTATTGTACATCAGGGCACTCACACAGGAGTAAAGCCCTATGGGTGCATTCAGTGTGGGAAGGCATTCAGTTTGAATTCACAGCTCATTGTACATCAGAGAAGTCACACAGGAATGAAACCTTATGTATGCAACGAATGTGACAAAGCCTTCCGAAGCAAGTCATACCTCATTATACATATGAGGACACACACCGGAGAGAAACTCCATGAATGCAATGATTGTGGGAAAGCCTTCAGTTTTAAATCACAACTGATTATACATCAGAGGATTCACACAGGAGAGAGCCCATATAAATGCCATGAATGTGGGAAAACTTTCAGTCGGAAATATCAGCTCATTTCACACCAGAGAACTCATGCAGGAGAGAAGCCCTATGAGTGCAGTGACTGTGGAAAAGGTTTTGGTTTAAAGTCACAGCTTATTACACACCAGAGAACTCATACAGGAGAGAAACCCTTTGAATGTAGTGACTGTCAGAAAGCCTTTAATACAAAATCAAACCTTATTGTACATCAGCGAACTCATACAGGAGAGAAACCATATGGTTGTAGTGAATGTGGAAAAGCCTTTACATTCAAGTCACAGCTCATTGTACATCAGGGCGTTCACACTGGAGTAAAACCTTATGGATGCAATCAGTGTGAAAAAGCCTTTAGTTTGAAGTCACAGCTGATTGTCCACCAGAGAAGTCATACAGGAGTAAAACCATATGGGTGCAGTGAGTGTGGGAAGGCCTTCAGGAGCAAATCATACCTTATTATACATATAAGAACTCATACAGGAGAGAAACCACATGAATGCAGTGAATGTGGAAAATCCTTTAGTTTCAATTCACAACTCATTGTACATCAGAGAATTCACACAGGTGAAAATCCCTATGAGTGCAGTGAGTGTGGGAAAGCTTTTAACAGGAAAGACCAGCTTATTTCACATCAGCGAACTCATGCTGGGGAAAAGCCTTACAGGTGCAGTGAATGTGGGAAAGCCTTTAGCAGCAAGTCATACCTCATAATACACATGAGAACCCATTCAGGAGAAAAACCATATGAATGTAATGAATGTGGGAAAACCTTCATTTGGAAGTCACTACTCATTGTACATGAGCGAACTCATGCAGGGGAAAATCTTTATAAATGTGGTCAGTGTGAGAAATCCTTCAGTGGGAAATTACGGCTCGTTGTACACCAGAGAATGCATACAAGGGACAAACCCTATGAATGCAGTGAATGTGGAAAAGCCTTCATTAGGAAATCTCAGCTCATTGTACACCAGAGAACTCATTCAGGAGAGAAACCCTATGGATGTAATGAATGTGGAAAAACCTTCTCTCAGAAATCAATTCTCAGTGCACATCAGAGGACACATACAGGAGAGAAACCTTGTAAATGTCCAGATTGTGGGAAAGCCTTTTGTTGGAAGTCACAGCTCATTATGCATCAGAGAACTCATGTAGATGATGAGCATGTTGAGTTAAATGTGTGAAACTTTTCTCTCAAAAGTCAATTCTCAGAAGTTACCAACAAAATCATATGGAAGAGAAACTCTGTCAATGGAAATGTCTTATCCTCTAGAAAACTCATACCAAACAGAAACATTGTGAATACACAGCAAAGGTAAAGGCATCCAGAGAAAGCTGTTCTTTACATGCAAAAAGATACAAAATGTACATGGGAATCCTGTGAATTTAGCAAACCCTTTGAAAAATTTTAGCAGCAACTCATACACTTTTAAACAGTTTATACAGGTGAAGAACTATAGAAATGAAATAGATGTTGGAAAGTCATTAATATATGGTAACATTCACAAAGAGGAAACTTCATGGAACAAATGGAAATAGAATAGACTCCTTTAAAATTCATAGTTTGTTAAACAGCATTTTAAAGAGAAAAATTACAGAACCAGCGAATGGCAGAATTATCAAAACTACAGACATTTTAGGTATCAGAAGTTCATATCTCTTAGGAATCATGCTATAAGGGAAGTTTTCATCTAAAAATGACAAACCCTAGCAGAGAAATAGTAATGTAGGAAGGAAGATCTATTATGTGTCAAGTATGGTTAAGCCTCAGCAGGAATATTTATCTCATTATATATCAGGGTTCATTTTAAAAACACCTATTATTTTAATTTGGAGAAATGTCTTACAGAAATAATTTCAGGAAATTATGTTGCAGGTGTTCCAAGTTTATGAATATATTGGAGAAAATGCCCAACTATAAATGTTTATAGAAGGTAAAGATTATTTTAGTATGTAGATAAATTTAATAATTAGGTTAACAAAAAGAAATTCATCCTAAGACCTACAAGGGTGTTTAGATATCTTATATATACACCACATAGTATGTATTTTGCATATTTTGACATTTTATTTGTGAATGCCATATGTGAGACAAATTAGTAGATACAATGCCAGTGATTTCTACTATGAATACCAACATTGTTTCTTCTTACCAAATGCAACTTGTTACTAGAATAATATAGCTTGTTATTAAGAATACATTTCAACACTACAAACATTTTCTCCTATTATTTTCTACCCTGTGTAAACAGTCCTTACAGCTACCTTTTTAGTTATAGGAACCAATATGGTGTACATTTCATTTGTTTGCATAGCCTGGAATCTGTTCTATCTTCACTGGTTAGAATCTCTTGATTTCCTTTCGGAGAAATATACCCTCACAGTCTATGAAGCCACAATAGAACCATCATTCAAGATGCCCTGCCAAGGACTTGGCATGGTCACTAAGTATGGCTGAGACATGTGAAATTTTACAATTTTAGTGGATTTCCAAAGTACAAAAAACAAACTGAGCTTTTATTCTATGGTTGTATCTTGATGTGATTATTAACTAGTTATTTTTATAGAGATATTCCAGAATAGCTTTAGTTACTGTCATTTTCTTAACCTACTTCTCTTGTCTTTTAATTTGAGCTACTTGTTATCTTTTTAATACATTGTGTGTTTGATGTGTTTCTATTGTTTACAGCTTAGTAACTCAGACTGCTTCAGAAATGGGTATTAGAGTGGGAGGTGTAGTCAGAAGCTTACAAGGTTATATGGATATTTGGAAATGGTTGTTTCCCAAGACAAGATTGAAACCTTTGAAGTCTCCATTCATATTCCATGGCAGAAACTAGTCTCATGATAAGAACTAGTGAAACTAATTGTTGTCATATCCTCACTGAGGTTCTGTGAAAATGGAGCAGTCGCTATTGAAAAATTTCAAACATAGTAAGAATTCTGGATTGTGTTGAAGTGAGGAATGCTTCTGATGGCCCTGGATAGCATGGAAAATAATGAGCTCAAAATCTCAATTAAAGGAAGGGTATAAAGTCAGTGGACTTTAAGTGATACTGCTGAAATATTTACATGTAGCTATAATATTAGAGTGGTGAAAAGTCATTCTCCCAGTTGGTTACTCACAAAGTATGTTTTCTTCACAACTTCATCAAATTTCTCATGTAAATGGGCATTAATCTTGAAAGAGTAGGACCCTGACAATTAGATTTGGGCTTCTTAGAGGAATACGAGAATTCAGCACAACAAATATTTCTGAAACAATCTCCACTTTGTACTCTATTAGAGAACCCTATATCTTACCCAAAGAAACTGTTTCTTCCTTGATTGGGAAAAATTTGGTAATTTCTGAATGCTTTATTTATATTGTGTTCCACTCATTATACAGAATCCAATCTGAAGATACCTGGGGTGAAGAATGGTGATTCAAAGAAGGGAAGAAAAAGCTTGTATAATCAAAGAATTGCAGATATTTGCTAAAGTATATTCCCTAAATCTGGGAAATATTGTTAAAGTGTACTTTTTCATGAATGTATTGAGGAAGACCAAATAAACTCACAAGAGTTTCAGTTTACTACTACCAGGGTTAGTTAGAGTTTAGTTTGTTTTGTTTGATGAAAATCTACATGCAACCATGCTCATGAGAAGCCAGAAATGTTGACATAATACTGACAATAGCACTCAAATACTGTAGGAAAGAATAATGCTGGATTAGGCCTTAATATTCTTAAGTGAAAATTTTACCACTTAAATGAAACTTAGAAATTAGTTGCTCTACAGGGAATAAACAAAATAGATGAACAGAAAGTGAATCACTGGCTAATCACAAGGTAATATATATATATTACCTCATCCCTCTGATCCTATCCCAGTCTCAGAAAAGAAAGATTCCTGAGACTTTTCAGGAATAGTCTTAGTTGTAAGGAAAGATAACCCCAACATTTTACAACTTTCCCATTAAATAGACATTTGTGAGAAAAAAATAACTTTCAAACCATATTTGTGAACATAGATTTTTTAATTTTAAATGGAATTATAGCAAACTGTAGCTGACAACAAAAAGACATGATATAATTAGGTTAAGCAGACTAGTGGTGATCCCAATGTCCTTTGTCCATCACCAACAGAATCACTGTATTATTTATAATGGTAATGCGCCCACTCAAAAAGCTACATTTATCCCCTGTCTTTGTAGCAAATTGTGACCATGCTAATAATTTCTGACTAATGGAAATGGATGTTGTTGAGAAAGTCTAATGGGAAGGTCCCTTAAAAAGGAAGCAGATAACTGTGGAAAGCCCCATTATGCCTATTAACCTTTCCTCTTTTTCATCTACATCAAACATGATGTTTGGAGATTCAGCAGTTATCTTAGACCCTAAATTCATCTTGAGGATTTAGCCCATCTGCTAAAATTGAGCAGAGTGAATTGCGTCTCTGAAAACTATGGATCTGCTATACCAGCCTTAGACTACCTACATCTGTATGTTTTACACAAAAGAGAAATGAACTATCTTGTTTAAGCCATCTTTCCTTTTTTGGGTGGGAAGAAAGTTGGTTCTGTTAAATGTGGCTGAAACTGCTAATTGAAATAGTAGTGTGTTTGGAAGATTTAATATTAGGAAATCTCTTAATGTAACCACACTACATTAGATCTGGGCTTCTTAGAAGAATACGAGAAAAGCCATATTAGTATCTCAATATGTGCAGATAAATCACTTGATGGAATTTAATACCCAGAGATGACTGTTAAGAATAGAAATTAATTCCATTATCTTGGTTTGGAATATATTTATCTTTACCTACTCCCTTTATTTAAGAGACAGGTTCTCACTCTGACATCCAGGCCAGAGTGCAGTGGCATGATCTTAGCACATTGCAGCCTTAAACTCTTGGGCTCAAGTGATCCTCCTGCCTTGGCCTCCTGAGTAGCTGGAACTACAGATGCAGCCACCATGCCTGGCTTCTTTATCCATTTTAAATTTAGTTGTCTTCTTGTTGAGTCTTAGTTTCTTTGTGTATTTTGCATGCAAGTTATTTTTCAGATGTGTTTATCAAATATTTTCTCTCAACCTGTGGCTTATGTTTTGTTTTCTCAACAGGATTTTTCACAGAGTAGACATTTCAGTTGTCTGCATTATCCATTTTTTTCTTTCATAGGATGGTTTTTGGTATTGTATCTAAAAATTCATCACCAAATCCAAGGTCAGCTCCAGAGACTTTAGTCCATTTTCAAAATGGACAGGATGCAGCTGACTCAGTCAGCCTTCTAGAAATTTCAGGTCTGGGCCCATTGCCTGCCAAGGCCAGGAGGGAGCACAATGCACTGGGGGTCTTCATGCAGACTGTACTTCTGTGACCAGCTGTCGCCCAGGCTCCTCCTTGTTGGGTCTCTGGGTCCTGCTGGTCACAGGAAAGGGCACAGGCCAAGGCTGGGATGGGCCCAGGGCTTTGTGAGTTTCCTGGGAGGGCCAAGGGGTGGCATCCCTTGCCGTAGCCCAGGGCACAGTAGTCACTGCTGCTGCCCTCTGAGTCTGGGGAAGCTGGCCTGGTGGTGGTTGTGGGGGCCCTAGAGCTGCTGTGCCAGGTAGGCTGGTGGCTATCCCCTACACTCTGCACACCCTACTAGCAGCATGTCTTCGGAGATAGAGCCCCAGGAAGCTGGTCCCAGTGCCCTCCTTCTCCTCATGGCCCTCGGATTTTCAGGGACACACCAGGCCACAGGTGAGCAGTGTGATGGCCTACAGATGCAGGACTGTGAGGCTGTGCCATTGCTTCCCCTGCCGCCAACCCTGGGTCCCCCAGCCGTAGGCTGAGCCTACAGGAAGGAAAGTCTCTGTGCCTGTGTCTCACAGGCCAGCTTCACAACTCCTGAGGGAAGGGCCAGGGTCTGGTTCCTCTGGGTCAAGGGCTGCTGACCCCAGCCCAGCACACACATGGCCCTGTTCTGAGATGGGCAGGCAAACACAGGGCCATTCACAGACACCCCCGAATCCACAGTCCACCCCTGGGCCCACAACTGACCAAGAAATTCAGCTTCCAGGACTTTATCCTGAGGAGACAGCCAGGTAAGGAGTGGAGGGAAGAGGACAGGGATGCCCACCCGACTGCTGCTTATGAAACACACATTAGAAACAGTCCCAAGGTCCAACGACAGAGTGCTGATGCGTGAATTAATGCATCACCCATCACGAAATGCTACCCAAGGCTGTCATTAACCTCTATACTTTGACACGGACAGTTAAGTGAGTAAAGGAGGGGAGTCCAAAATATTAAACTTTTATTGAAAACATTTGTTTCCCAAACACAATGAATTACAACCTGTGGGAAAAGCCACCCTGTTCCCCCTGCCTGGGCCGTCCCCAACCAGGCTTGCTTCCCAGCACTCCAGGGAGAAGCCTGACTGACAGAAATGTCGGGACACTTCCCGAGACCCCCTCCCAGAGTTAACCAGGTAGAGAAGTCTGGCCTTGTGCGTGGGCAGGCGGGAGGGCAGCCAGCAGTGGAACACCCTCTTCTCTGTAGAAAGGCCTCTGCTGCTCAAACTTGCCCAGGAGCTGGACTCTCACCTGCCGCTGCTGGACAGACCCACCTCCGGCTTCCAATCTCACGAACAATTCTCAAATGCCCTTTCCGTTACAAGGAGCTGCCACCAAAACTACAAGTGGCAGGGGGCTAGGAATCTCTCAATGCTTCTCAGCAGAACCCCTCGGGGGACTCTGGGGACCTCCGTGTTTTGTTCAGGATAAAGCTCTGTGTTGAAGGCCAGATAAGCCATATCTGCTTCTCTGGGCTGCTGGCCTGACCCCCGAGGGACAGCTCAGCCCAGGCTGCCCCCTGAGAACTCAAGGAGCATCCTGGCTCCCCAGAAGGCATCGCAGGAGTCCTGGCCGTCAGGCCACTGCACCTGGAAGACCAACAGTGTCACACACACAGGCAGCCTCTATCCGGCTCCTTCCCACCTGGGCTCCTCCTGACCCTGTACAAACCCTCTCACTTTGGACCCTGGATGGAATGCTGCCCACGGCACCCCCACCCCAGGTCCCGGTCCACTAATGCTGAGCCACAAGTCATCCCTGTCCCTGTTCAGCTCTGCTGTTTATTCAATCAAGGGCACTAGCTGAGCCCTCCTCCATGCCATGAGCTGTGGGTCCAGGGGTTAAGAAGGAAACACGGTGCCTGTAGGAAGGCCTCACCTGGCTGGTGGGCAGAGGCTGGCTCAGCTCCATGGCAGACACAGGGCCAGTGAAGGTAGATGGGGCCGTGGCCAGCTCTGGAGGGCTAGAAAAGGGATGATGTCAGGAAAGGTCTGTCGGGGACACTGGGTGACAAGACCTACCTGGTTGTCTTCCTACCCATCAGAAGCCATTCTTGGTGCTTGGTACTGCTCATGAACAGACTTTCCCTGCAGGCCCTCACACACAGAGTGTTTGAGGAATTTGTTACACATTGAGTGGGGTCACTTGGGGGTCACAGAGGGCAACCCTAGTGAGGGCGTCAGGCAGGCTCATGGAGGACCTGGTGAGCAGAAATGTGAAAGAAGATATCGTGAAGAAGGAACAGGCCTGGGGTGAGAAGACGTGAGACCATTAGGACCAAATCAGGGACAGCAGGAGGGAGAGCATGGCATGGGCAGGCACGGTCATTCAGGATAGCAGTGGCAATTCCTAAACAAGGCTGACACCTGCCTACCGTGGGATGCACTGTGAGAAACCAGGGCAAGTGTGCTAGGATGTTCACAGCAGCTTTTTAGTTGACCCAAACCAGGAACACCCAAATGCCCATCCCCAGGAGAACAGGTAAACAAACTGGCACAGCCACACCTTGGAATACGGCCCAGCAGTACAAACAACTGAACTATCGATATCTCATCAATAGGGTTACTCTCCAAGTAGGAATGAAACATTGATACCCCAACAACGGGGAAGTAGTTACACTGAGCGAAAGAAGCTAGACCAGGACCAAAAAAAAGCCCAAAGGCCGGGCGCGGTGGCTCACGCCTGTAATCCTAGCTCTCTGGGAGGCCGAGGCGGGCGGATTGCTCAAGGTCAGGAGTTCGAAACCAGCCTGAGCAAGAGCGAGACCCCGTCTCTACTCTAAATAGAAATAAATTAATTGGCCAACTAATATATATACAAAAAATTAGCCGGGCATGGTGGCGAATGCCTGTAGTCCCAGCTACTTGGGAGGCTGAGGCAGGAGGATTGCTTGAGCCCAGGAGTTTGAGGTTGCTGTGAGCTAGGCTGACGCCACGGCACTCACTCTAGCCTGGGCAACAAAGCGAGACTCTGTCTCAAAAAAAAAAAAAAAAAAAAGCCCAGAGTACATACTGTATGACTGCATTCACATCCAGTCCTATGAAATGCAGCTAATCTTTTGATACAGAAGCAGATCTGTGGTCCCAGGGGTGGCCAGGTAGCAGCAAGTAAGGGAGAGAGGAGGGCAGGTTCACGGCCTTCGTCACAGCCATGGGCTCAGGGTGGATGCAAAAGTCATGCTGAGAAAACTACTGGCCGTTCTGTCTGAACACGTGTAGTCTGCTGTGTGCCAGCCACACCCTGATGAAACTGTCTTTATAGAAGGAATCAAGGTCCTCGGTTGGAGGATTGAGAGGAAGGGCTGAGACGGCCACGTGGAGAGCCCACGTGAGCCACAGGGACACTGGTGTGGCAGCACCTGCCTGATCTCAGCTCCAGGCCACGAATGAGTAAGTGAGTCCATCTGTGTGGTGTGGAATTTTTTTCACAATCTGGCTGTTTCAGAGCATGTGATTTGGGGGCTATTTCCCCTTTTTCTGGCATGCCCCCCCATAATTTTGCCCTTGCTGGGCACCTGCCTTGAGTCAAACTGGTGTCAGCTCTCAGATGAGGGAGACAGTGTACCCTGGGGACCTGCTCTGCTCCTGGCAGCCCTAATGTAGGTAGGATGGGGTGTCCACTGGAAGGGGATTGGGGGTGGTGACCCCCTCTCCACCAGGGAACTGCAGACCACCCTGTTCACTCCTCCGTCCCTGTCTCTGCAGCCCTGCCTGCTGCTCCGCCCCGAGGCCCTCGTCACCTTCTCTCTGTCCTGACAGCCTACAGCATCAACGCTCATCCAGGCTGTTCAAGAACCTCCCAAGTGCTTCTAAAACATCAGTCTGGAATATAAAATCAGGATCTTGATGCTGCTCAGAAACTGAAAGCTTTTGTCTGGGGAAAATAAAATGCCAGAAAGAGGCTGCCAGGGCCCAGGACAATCTCAGGGAAGAAGAGGTGAGTCCTGAGCACATCCAGAGAACAGTATTCCTACATCTGCTCTGATGTTTTGGGGTCCCCTTTGGTTTGAGGGAACAACTACCCTCTTTTTGTCAGATGCAGGCTGGTGGGAGGGGGGGATTGTTACAGTTTTCAGAAACCCATAAGGAAAGAACTCAACCTGCACAGTGTGAGATAGCAAGTCTAAACTGGGCATCACCCCATCTCACAGCATGCAGAAAGCACTGCCTGGTCCGTGGCCCTTTGGCTTACCTCTGGGTGAGGATGAATCCCGGAGCCTGCAGCGGGGACTGTGTCACCAGGAAGCTGCCAGCCTGAGGCTCTGCCTGTCCCCTGCTTGTGCCTGGACTCTCCTCCAGGTGCGTGCTCTGGGGAATGCTGCTGGGCCGGTCAGCAAATCCTGCATGTGACGAAATTACACCACCACTGGCGGGAGGGGGCACAGCCCACGTGTGGCACAACCAAGACCTCAAAGCAGGGAGGTGCATGCAGCATCCAGAACCCTGTGAACAAACTTGTGGCTCTGGGCCTCAGCCTCCCTGTCTGAGGAAGAAACCATCGCAAACCTCAATCTTAACGGCCATTCCAGGCTTCCAGAGACCAAAACAAAGTTGAATTCCACTGACGTCAAAGTCTGCTTTGTCATTCTGGGCCCCGCGTGCCCCCAGCACCAGAGACGGGGAGTGCGTCTGCAGCGAGCTGCCCCCGCAGGTGGGAGGACGAGCCAGGCAGCCTCCGTCTTCTCCTGTGGCTGGTTCGTGGCAGGGTCAGCCCTTGGCAGTTGCCATTCCTACCTCTCACCTCAGATTCCACCAAGATGTCACTGAAGTGTAGGCTGTCACTACCTTCCCTTGCCCTTTGACTTTTTCTCTGCTCAAAGTGTTCCATGGAGTATCTCAAAGTACCTTTCACATTAAAGGCAAGTCGCTGTAGATGTGGTCAGCTGACACACATTCAGGAGGGAAGTGACCGGAAAGGCAAGTTCTTTTCTGCTATGAGTCGACAAAGCTGTAAAACTAGCATTAAGATGGCCCTGACCTCAGACAGAAATGACAGGCCTGGGGCCAGGCTCACAGTGCCCTCCCTCTAGACCACCAGAGGACCACTTGACCCGGTGGCCAGCCCAGAACCTTCCTGGGTGAAAGGGGCCTTCTTGACTGTTTGGTGTATGACTCAATCTCTGATTTCCATCTCCTCTTTGGTGCAGAATCATAAGGACACTCTGAGGCAGAGGAAATAAAGTTTGAGTGCTAATTTGGACATTCTGGTTCAAACACAAGACAGCATGGGTTGTATCTTCTCTCTACAAGAGAAAGAGAAGTGAAAGCCACAAGCACGATGTGCACAGTTGTGCAGAGCCAGGGTATAAGTGCAGCTCCATGGCAATGGGGCCTCTGACAGGGAGCTGGGTGCAGGGCAGGGGCTGAGGTCCCCAAGGAACTGAAAGAGAAGGACAGCTTCCTGGTGCCCAGGCAGCAGCAGGGAACTCAAAGGCAGGGGTTTCTGCAGACAGAACAAAGAAGGAAGCTTGCTGAGTCCCAGAGAATATCGCCCCTGACATGTGCTGGCCCCCAGGCTTGATGACTGGCTCCCTGGTCCCAGTGTGAAGTCAGCCCGTGACTGTCCCCACTCTAGTCTCATTGGCAATGACAGACAGGCAAATGTGAACCTCCAACAGAAAAAAATGGACAGCAATAAATAAAAGACCAACATGATCAAACTGACAAGTCACCTCCAGAGAAAAGCACCAGGTACTGTCCTCTTTCTGGCCCCACGTCCTTGTCAATTCCAGGAAGGTCCACAATCCACAGTCCCCATAACCCACCCTTCAGAAAACGAAGCATATTTTTTAAAAGTTCTATTAGGATCATCAGAGAAGTATAAGATATTGTATCCATAGAAAGTAACCATCTATTAAGAAAGGAAAATTCAGAGATCAGTAAAGAAGGCTTGAAATTCTGTTAAAATGTACAACTGTCAAAATAAAAACCTCGAAGACAGAATTTAAGAAATATCCCAAAAGTACATACAGTAAAAAGGAAAATATAAGATAAAAGGCAAGTTCTTTAGAAGACTGGTCCCCGAGTTCCAACATCCAAACAACATTTGTGCTCTAAAGAGAGAACTGAAAAAAATAAGGGAGGAACTTACCAAGGAAGTTATTAACGACATTATCAAAGGATATTACAAGAAATGCCCAGAGTTTAAAGGAAACTTTGTTTTTTAAAGTGGAAGGCTTAACATCAAGATGAATTAAAAGACCCATACCTAGGACCATAAGTGTGAAATTTCAGAACACCAAGATAGGGGGAAAAAAAACAAAAAAACTAAAAGCCCCAAAAAGTAAAAATAGGTTATCTGCAAAGGAATAAGTATCAGAATGACATCTGACTTAATAATACTGAATGCTGAAAAAAAATGATATAATGTCTTCAAATTTCTGAGGTAAAAACTATTTTCAACTCAGAATTTTTGTCCCTGCCAAACTGTTAATCAAATGTGAGGGCAGATACAAGACATTTTTAGGACATGCAAGGACTTAGAAAATTTATCTTGTAGGCAGCCTTTATTGCAAAGTTAATTGAAGAAATTTGCTAACAAAACAAAGGAGTCAAAGACAGAAAGAACAAAACTTGCAATTCAGGAAGCACTACAGCAAACGCAGGAAGTAGTTATGGGAGCTCTGGGGATCACGGCTGCACCCCAAGCCTAGAGAGACATCACTTGGATGGAACGGGAAAAGGAGGGGCCCTAGCAGCGGGTTTTGAGGAGGAATGCTTGAAATGCTGAAGATGTAACACAACGGTCCCCAACCTTTTTGGCACCAGGGACCGGTTTCATGGACGATGATTTTACATGGATCGGGGGTGGAGGTGGAGCTCAGGTGGAGATGCTAGTGATGGGAGGCAGCTGTAAATATGTCACCACAGAGGAAGCTTCACTCGCCTGCCCACTGCTCACCTCCTGCTGTGGCCTGGTTCCTAACAGGCCACGGAGCAGAACCGAGCCGTGGCCCTCGGGATGGGGTGCCACAGATGTAGAGGATGTGATAAAAGCAATGTTAAAAAAAGAAAGGCAATTAGAAACTCCAAGAAAACAAAAAGCTGAAGAAAAAAGATTATATATATATATATATATATATATATATCTCCATATAGATGTGTATCTCCATATATATACACATCTCTCTCTATATGTCCATAGAGCAGTAAGAAATATAGGTAAATTCATAGCGTCAATCTCCTCCTTACAAGGTGAGAAGTCACAAGATTCTGTTGTATTAGATGGACAAAACATATGTCCAAATACATTTTCCTTAAAGGTACTTATAGCTACAATGATAACTAAGAAAGAAACTAAAATAATAATATTTCCACCGTGGGCTAAGGGGAGAGCACTGGGGAGTCTTAGAAGCTCAGCCCTTCTCTGCTGCACGAGGTGCTAACAATGAGTTAGGTGCTCTGGTGCGGGGTTGCAGGGTGGCAGCAGCTTCCTTTCTATTTAACTCTTTCCTCACTGTCATATTTTCCAGTCATGTGCATATATATATATATTTTTTTTTTTTCGAAATAAAATAAATGAGAAATAATCTGGGATGTTTTTAGGAAGAGTCTCATTTTTGGCTGCAATGGCTCCAGGTCTAATCAAACACCATGGATTCAAGCAGAAAGACCTAGCCATACTCACACTTCCACCCCCTCAGAAAAGACCCGAGTAGTCAAAGCATGTGGTGCAGAAACTCACGGACTATCCAAAGCGGACCCACCTGTAGGGCTGGGATTGCCAAGGGTGGCAATGGACACAGTCATAGCGGTGTCTGCAGGGCACATCATGAAGTCCAGTCCATGACCGTGGACCAGCTGTTCAGTCTGGAAGGAAACTTCCTTGGAGGATGCCAGTGCAAGGGACATCAGCCACGATTCGGGGGCAGCCAGAGAGGGGTCCAGCATGTCGCTGCCAGCAGCCAGAGGGCAGAAGCCAGGCCCACGGCAGATAGAGGGGAGGGTTGCAGGACTGTGGCTGATCCCCTCCTGGTACATCTCTCCGCCCTGCAGAGACCTGGGGGACACGGTGAACACCATGCCTTGGTGGGAAGAGGCTCCCTCAGGCTGGGGCGTTGGCACCTGGGAGGGGACTCTAGTCAAGTTCGAGAGAGAAGGTGGGTCCTCGTCTCAACTCAGCACTGGGGCTGTGGGGCCCGTTACACTACTAATCGCACGGCCTTGGCAGTTCCCCCTGGGGCTGCAAGGACTGGGCTGAGCTCTGATAGGCCTGGCTCCTGGTGACACTTAATAAAGACTATTACTGGAAACCTAAAATACATTAGCAGCTTATTTACGGTGACCTTCAATGATGTATTGTTCTTCAGTACTGAACCCTAAAAATGATTAGCAAGGGCCTAATAGTTGAATGAATAATTCACAGTTGATCCTAAAGGAGTATTAGGTAGCAGTGGACAATAATTTAAAGAGTTAATATTCCACAAATGCTCACCATGTCCCAAATGGTATTCCTAGGATTTTGTTAACCGTCTCCCCTTAACCTTCTCAACAACCTGTGTTGGGTCCTATCACCATCTCCATTTCACAGCTGAGAGTGTACCTGCCTAGGGTCACACACCTGGGTTGTGCTGATCCTGGATATGGGCCAGGCACAGGGATGTCCTAACAGTACATGGCAACGGAGGCAGGGAAGTGCTCGTGGAGCGACGGTCGGACGAGCTGTGGGCTGGCTGGCCCTGCGTGGACCCAGCGCCGTGGCCAGCCAGCACGCACTCTCCTTACCCTGACATCAGCCTGTGCCTCATCACAGGAGCACAGGTGCAGGGAGAATGCTCCAGCAGCACAGGTATGCAGTGGGAACTCGAGAGGTGCTGGCTATTAGTAACTCAGTGAAATGCAAAATACTGCATTTCAAAATTCTGGAAACAAACCACAATGACAGCTGGGTCTGTCTTTATGTGGCAGGTCTGCATGTTTTTCCCTCTAAGTCTTCTACCCCCATCCTCCAAAACAGACATGAATTCAGTTGTTGAGTCAGGCTGCAGGGAGCCAGTGAGGTCAGAGGAAGCTGCTCCCTGATACCCACCCCAACTCCAGTCCTCAATGTGGGCTCCTTACTGGTGGTTTCCCCTGCCCTGGGGTCTACCAATGCCCAGAGTCTGGGCCCTGGATCCCCATGCCCACTCTACACCCTGGTCTCCACCTGAGGAGGGAGGGGAACAGCACAGGTGAGATGGTCCCATGGCCCATGGGGATGACAGTACCTGGGAGCCAGTGGCTTCGAGATTGTCTCATCTCCAGAAAAGTCCGGGGCCAAGGCCAGCGGCTCCCACGGCCCTTGGGTACTCTCTGGAGACTGTGGGGGCCCATTTTCCTCATGTCCCTCTGAAAGCAGATCAGATGGGACGGGAGACTTAGTGATGCTCTGAGTCCCAGCCTCCTTCCCAGCAGGTAAGAGCAGCCCTGCTGGCTGGAAAAGTGTCACCACTGGGTTATCCCAGTATTGTTTGTTTGTCCCTCAGCTTGTCTTTGGTCTGAACAAATGCTCCATAATTACCAACCCGGGACTCCCCAAATCCTTGTGCTTGGTTCACTTCTCGAATCTACTCACCCACCCTCTTCCTGCAGCCACATGATGGCCTGGTCTCCAGCCCAACCCCTAAGCCTGGCCACGCAGTAGCCTGGACGTGCACAGGGCAGCCATAGCCCCTCCTGGGCCTCAGCCTCAGTGACCTCACTCCCCTCTGACTAGCGGATAGGGAGCAGCTGTCCCTGTAACAAACGTGACCTTACTTTGGCCTGGCCCTTGTCAGAAATCAGCCCCACAACCACAAGCAGGCTGGGGCCCTCAGGCCACTCACCTGACCACTGAGGCCTGTCCGCAAACCCAGAGTCAACATGGGGGTCTCCTGAGGGCTGCAGGGCGTCAGGACGCCTCTCTCTTACACTGGGGTCTTCTGCTGTGGCCTTCTGAGCTGGCTCCGTGTGCTGAGTGAGGGCCCTCTGACGCCGCCGGTAATTGGCAAACCAGTTGTACACCTGCTCAGTGGTCAAGCTCGTCTCCAAAGCCAGGTTCTCCTGCCCCAAAACACCAAACTTCTAGCCGTGTTTCCATTCACTGAGCACAGGGGTGCATGGAGGTGGCTATGACCGCATTTCCACCGAGAAAGGGGGTGGGAGCCCAGCCTAACTGACCGCAGTGATGGTGCTTGGGGCATTAGACAGACAAACATCTCCTGAGCTCAGGAGGCCGAGAGTGGTCAGCGTGAGTGACATGCAGGCCCTGACTTCCTGGGATGAGCTTCCCAGGCCAGCTTGGGCCCTGGCCAGGCTGTCTGCTCAGCCGTGTGCACGTCCTCCTGGGTGAGTCCACCGGACAACAGGCCTAACCCCGAGTGCTCGGAGGGCAGGGCCTGTGAAGCTAAACCCCGTGCCTGGCATGGACCCTCTGGGAGAGTGTGCCAGCCTGCAGATGCCCACAACCCGTCGTCCTGGGGCCTGGCACCCAGCGGGTACCGAGTGAGCACCTGCGGGGCCACTCACACGGACAATGTCCTGATCTCGCATGAGAGGACTAAACCCTCACACGGCATGCAGGACAGGCAGGAGGGGCTGCCTACCAGTGAGCTCCGTGTCTGGAGGAGTGTGGGGGAGGCTGAGACCACAAGCACCCTGGGGGCATGTCCCCGGGGCCCCTGGCTGCCGTCCATTCTTACCCTCTCAGCCTTGGAGGGGTTGGTGCTAACCCTGGAAGCGAAGTTGTGCAGCTTTTGTCGAACCTCTCTGGGGAAGTTCCGGCTCTTCAGCCCCTCTGGGCAGAGCGAGGGGGGTGGGGGGTTCCTAGATGAGGAAAGTGAGGAGGCAGTAACAGAACAGGACCCCTCCCAACTCATGTTCCCTGCTGAGGGCCTCTGACGAATGTGACACTGGTGTCCCCTCTGTCCCCTGGGCCTCTTCCTAGGGGATGCCTCGATTTGTGAAAATGACAATCTCTCCCCACAGAAATGCACACCCAACACACGCTGTTCACACGACTGCACGGGGCTCCTTGCACGTCTGCAGGCCGTGGAGAGGAGCCCTCTCTGTGGCCCTCGCGGTGCTCCTGGGTGCTTCTCAGGCCACCTGGGCCCTGATGCCCCTGCTGGACACGCTCCTGCATAGGCCTCTCAGGACCTGGCTCCCCACCCTGGGTCTGCTTTTCCATGCAGTGTCTTCCTTAAGATCTGCAGCCCCCACCTGAGCCATTAGAGAGCCTTCGAGAGGAAGAATAAAGGTTCTGAGGTCTGGGCTGGAGTCCTGGCTTCAAATCTCTCTTGTGTGAAACTGAAACCTCTCTGTGCCTCAGTTTACTCATCCATAAGTGGTGATGACGTTAATAATAATTGCTAGTAGTGACATTTATTTAGTGCTGATAATTATTAACACTTATGTAGAGCCTATCACTCCTCTGAGCACTTGACGCACAGCTCATTCTAACACTTGCAACACTCTCACCCGTATCTGTCTAAAAGGTCCTGAAGCCCCTGAGTGGCCGTCTGAGCCCAGGTGTAGGGACAGCATGACCTGGGGCACAGGTGCTGAGTGGCTCCCAACTGCCCTGCACATCCACTGTCCTGGCCCCCGGGCCCCCTTGTGCAGCCAGGCCCTGGGGAATTGGGAGACAGTCAGGACGCCCACCTGCCGGCCTCAGCGTCAGCCACCTGGAACATGGCCACCACCTGACAGATGTGGCAGACGGAGAGTGCGGCTCAGTAGGGAGCACAGCACAGGCACGACAAACCCTGAAGTCACAATAAGCTGATTTTGCAGTGACTAGGACCGCTTCATTTGCTGTTTCCCGCCTGAATCTCCTAGGGTCCCCTTTACCTCAGCCCCTTTGCGGTCTGGCGAGTGCGCCCAGTCCTCAGGAACCCCAGAGTAAGCACAGATAAGTGCCGGTGGGTACCTCTTCCTGCAGCGGAACTTCTGCACCGGCGTCAGCACAGCCACGCCCAGCCTCTTCATGGCCAGGCGGTAGTGGATGTCGTTCCATAGCTGCACCAGCTCCTGGCTGCCTCCTGGCACCCGGCACCCCTGCCAAGAAGAGCTTGCTGAGCTCTGGCTGGCTGCGTCCCCCCTGGCATGCCGTGGGGACCTGTGTCTGCCGTCCCAGAGCAACCCAACCTCCAGAAAGGCAGTGATGTCTGCAGGAAGAGCAGGGGTCTGGGTTCAAATCCACAGATTTGCAAAGTGCCAGCGTGGCCAAGCAGCACAGAGGTGAGTCTGATGGCCAGTGCTTCGATCCCCAGCAAGCTCAGCAGTGTGACCCTGGGCCAGACGGGTCACCTCACAGGCCATGGGTGGACACGCTCACACCAGCCGTGAATGGGCCTCTGCTTTTAAAGCCTTCAACCCTCCCAAGGAACACAGAGAAGTATGTTGGGAGCTTGAGGAATGGCAAGGAGGCTGGCACAGCTACTTCAGAGGCAGCTGGGCAGAGCCTGAGAGGAGGCTGCAGGGCGGCAGAGTCAGACCTGGGTTTTGGAAGCCACTGGCCAGGCTCCACCTACCGCTTTAAACTCCCTCTGACAGCTGTGTGAACAGATTGAAGGGCAGGAGGACACCGTACTAGCTCTGGGTTGTGAGGCATGGGAGTGGAGATAGAAAGAAATGGAAGGAAGAGTATTTTGAGGGTAAACTCACAACAAATTATGGATGGACTCTAGGGCAAAAGAGAGGAAAAACCAGGCCTCTAAATCCCTTATTAGAAACCCTTTGAGCAATATGTATTTTGGAATTCAGAATTTTTTAGATTCCAGCAAGTAACACAGGCACCCATTTTATGACTTGCACCACCCCACCATAACCTGGGACAGCACACTATGATCAAAGTTACCATTATTAAGGCAGCAAAAGGTGCAATGGTCACATTAGGTGGATAAATAATGGCCATAAATAGCTTTATGTTAACATAGGTCACATTTTGATGCCAATACATTGATGTTCAAGGTGCCACCAGATGAGTAACAAAGATACTTGTGGTTTTCAGAGTTCCTCATTTCGAACCTGCCAGTAAGGACTGAGATTAGGGGCCAGTTTGAACACCTTGCTGGCTAAGATGCCAGCTCTCCAAAGCCAGGGCCATGTTTTACGCAGTCATTGTGTTCACTAGTTGGCACAATGGTTGGCACAGAGTCACTACTCAATACGGATTCGAATCACAGGCAATTTCAACTCAGATTACCAAGCTCGTGAGAATTTAGTAAAGTGAGAGTGGACCACCCTGACTAAGCTTACTTAAGAAAACCCCTGCTGGCTTTGCCAAGGCGCTGGTGTGGGGGCCTCAGGCAGCGGGTTCTTGCGGACCCCCAGGCACTTCTGCGGTGCTGGGCATGGTGCCGGCCACTGAGGAGGCATCGCCGCCCCTCCCCCGCAGCCCAGTCCTACCTCCAGAAGCCGGCAGGCTGCCTGCTGCTGCTCCTGCTGCTCCAGGACGCGCGCGCACACCAGGGCCACGTCTGCATTGTCCAGGAGGTACAGGCGGAGCTGGCTGTCCAGAACGGCCGCCACCAAAGGCTGCGCCCGCGCCAGGTCATCCTGGAGGTCCCGGCACAGCCTGCCTACGAGGGTCACCAGCTCCGCGGGGGGCGGGCAGGTGCCCTCATGCTTCCTCAGCAGAGTCAGGAAGCTCTGCATCCTGGTCAGGTGGGAGCCCCTCTGCGGACACAGAGAACAGGATGACAACGGCCAACATCCATCATGCGCTTTCAGTTGATCAATCCTCGAATCAACTCCGCAAAGCAAGTAAGTGATACCATGACCCTCATGCCAAGGACACTTGTAGGGTAGGAATAATGAGAGCTTACCTGAGAAAAGGCAGGGTGGCATCACACATCCCACAGAACTTCCTTCTGATTTCCAAAGATAGTTTCGTCCTTAATGGACCTGACTGTGTACCAAGCACCGAGCTGGGTGCTGTCTGTCTGGGTGCCTGCTGTCTGGCCCCCTGCTGCCCTGTCCACAGGCCCCCACCCTGTTCCTCTCATCTCTCCCCAGGCTCCCTCTCCTCCGCTCTCCGACGGAGTTGTGACTGTGCTTCCTCTCGCTCCCCCTGTGGGCTGTGGGTTCCCGAGGCCGCCGCGCAACTGCGCGCTCACGCCTCACAGCAGAGCAGCCGCGCACCCGATACCTAGCCGGACACAGGCGCGTTCCGCAGCCCTGTGCTCGGTCCTGCGGAGCATCCCATGGGACGGGGGACCAAGAGGGGTTTAAACAGGTCCCCGCCGAAGGGTGTCTGGGCAGCATGCTAGCGGCTGCTTTTGCAAACAAGATACCTTCGTTCATGAACTCATTTCCTTAGAATGCACTTCTAGAGGCGAGGGCTAGTTAAGGGCAGCGCGACACGGACATCTGCGTTCTTAGACGTTTGCAAACTGCTTTCCGAGAGGGCTGTGCGAATCTGCGGGAGCGCAGAGCGCGGCCCGTCTGCGCGCTCCCTGGCGGCGGGGACGGCCTCCCTTCTGGTTCTTTCTGCTCAGTGTCCCAGGCGCCCGCCAGGGGGACGCCATCTCGTCTACACCACCGCCTCTGGGGTTCTAGCGCCATCGCACCGGGTCCTGACTCGACCTGGGGCTCTGCATTGCTAACTGCCACGCCGCAGGAGGCCCTGGAGCCCCGCGGCTCCCACGGGGGAAGCGGGGTCCGCTCGGGGCTGGGCTCCCTCCAGCGCCGCCTGCCTGCTCCGGGAGGGCGGGAAGAAGGCGGGCCGGTCCACGCCGGCTCAGCAAGGAAAAGGCTCCGCGGGGACCCCGCCCGCCCGGCCGTGCACGGGGAGTCGGCCGGGCTGGGTGGAGGGGACGGGCGGCCAGCAGCCCTACCTTCCAGCGCGCTCCTCGAGGCTCGGCTCCGGCGCCCGCGGTGCCCGCCACTTCCGCGCTCGGCGCACGTGCCCGGCCCGGCGGCGCCGCGGGCGGCGAGGCTGCTACAAAGTATCCGGCCGCCCAATCCCCGGGGGCCCCGCCCGGAGACCGGCCTGGGGCCTGCGCCCCTCTCCCCGGGGCGCCCCCCACGCGGGGAGGTCAGAGGGCTCCGGGCCCTGGGGACCTGGGCGTGTCTGAGGGCCCGGGAGGGAGCGCGGCGGTGCGGCGTGCAGGACGGCGCTGTGACCCGAGACTGACCCCGCCGCCCCGCGGAGACCCAGCCGGGTGGGGGCACAGCTGCGGGGCGGACACCCCGTCCCCGCCCTGGGCTTCCGCTACGTGGCCAGGCGACGCGCCGGCTCCAGAGTCCGGAGTCCGGAGCGGGAAGGGCCGCCGGGCCTGCAGGCGGCGCCGGGACCGCGCGGCAGCCCAGGGCGTGGCCGGGGCTGTACATCGGGGCGCGGGGCGCGACAGCCCGGGGCGCGGGGCGTGGCCGGGGCTGTACATCGGGGCGCGGGGCGTGGCTGGGGCTCTACATCTGGGCGCGGGGCGCGACAGCCCGGGGCGCAGGGCGTGGCCGGGGCTGTACATCTGGGCGCGGGGCGTGGCCCGGGCTGTACATCTGGGCGCGGGGCGCGACAGCCCGGGGCGCGGGGCGTGGCCGGGGCTGTACATCTGGGCGCGGGGCGCGACAGCCTGGGGCGCGGGGTGTGGCCGGGGCTGTACATCTGGGCGCGGGGCGTGGCCAGGGCTGTACATCGGGGCGCGGGGCGTGGCCGGGGCTGTACATCTGGGCGCGGGGCGTGGCCGGGGCTGTACATCTGGGCGCGGGGCGAGACAGCCCGGGGCGCGGGTCGTGGCCTGGGCTGTACAGCGGGGCGCGACAGCGCGGGACGCGGGGCGTGGCCCGGGCTGTACATCTGGGCGCGGGGCGAGACAGCCTGGGGCGCGGGTCGTGGCCGGGGCTGTACATCGGGGCGCGACAGCGCGGGACGAGGGGCGTGGCCCGGGCTGTACATCTGAGCGCGGGGCGCGACAGCCCGGGGCGCGGGGCGCGGGTCTCAAGGTGCGACGGCGCGGGACGCAGGGCGTGGCCGGGCCTGTCCATCGGGACACGGGGCGTGGCCGGGACTGTACATCTGGGCGCGGGGTGCGACAGCCCGGCGCCGGCTCCCGCCCCCCGCGGCGCGGCCTCGGCCCCACGCGGCGCCCACGCGGCAGGCGCCCGGGAGCGCCAGGGCGAGAAGGCTGGGGGTGGCGTTCACAGGGCGGCCCAGGGCTCACTGGAAAGAAAACAGTCTGCCGTCGTGGCTTATGCAGGGCTCATGCGGAGGACTTGGGCCGAAAGGTAAACGTTTCCGCGTTTGTTCCAGTAAAACCGACAGGACCCAAGTGTCCGGCGGGGGGTCTGCCGCGTGGACCGGATTCGGACGGGGACGGGCTCCTGGGAGGCCGGGCGTGTCGCGCCGAGGCAGCGTCTTCCTGGCCGGCCCGTGGTGATGACGCGTCGCGCGGCGAAACGGCCGTCTGTGGGGACCGGCCCGGGCGCTCCGCTGCTCGCCCCTCCGGCCCGTCCGGAAACTCTTCCGTTACCCCGGGAAGCGGCGGGAGGCGAGCGTGTTTGCGGCCGCCCCCATCGCTCGCATCACCGCTTGAGCCCTGCCTAGCCCCACCCGGCCGTGGAAAAACTCTTCCGTGAAACCGGCCCCCGTGCCAAAAAGGTTGGAGGTCGCTGTGTTGTAGGACAGTTTGAGTGATGCAGTCCATTTGGAAGTGGAGATAAATTGATGTATGCAACATTGTCGAACCCTGGTTGCCCCTGTGGGTGATGGAATCTTTATTTAGTTTTAGTACGTTTATAGACACTTTAATTTTCATGTTTTGGTTTATCTACATTTTGTAATTTTTATAAAATATAAATTTCCGGTTTTCTATTTTAAACTTCCTTTCAAGGAGTGGAAAGGGAAAACAGGACAGCAGGATTGGGGGAAGCAGTCCTGACTGCCCAAGTGTGCTGAGGCCTCAGCCACCCTGACCTGACCTGGGTGGAGAGCAGACCGGAAGTTAGAGGTCACCTGCAGCAAACTCTTGACGCAGTCACAGGCTGTTTCTCTGGGATACACTAGATGGTGTGTCCTAGACATAGAAGAGAAGAGAGCAATACTCCTGATCGCTCTTCACCCAGTAAGCACCAATGAATTTAAAAACTCAATGGAATCTAAACTGTCAAAGTCCCTACATTAATGAATTTAAATGAATTCAACATTTTTTTTTATTTTATGTAGTTTTATTTTTTAGAGACGGGGTTCTTGCTGTATTGCCCACAGAGGCCTTGAACTCCTGGGTTCAAGCGATCTTTCTGCAACAGCCTTCTAAGCAGCTGGAACTACAGGCATGTGCCACTTAGTTTGACTGAATTCAACAAATTTTGTGATCATAATTGATTGTTATAAAATCAGTTACTTTTTTTTTTCGCTGCTATTTGGTGAACACTCAATATGTCCCAAGCAAGAGGTTATTGATTACCAACATTGTTTTATTTGAGCCTTCCAATCAGCCTCTGAGCAAATTTTCAAACACTTTCCAGAGTGGCCTACCTTAACCATTAGACTTGAAAGTCTAATTTTTTAAAATATAGAATGCTTTATTAATTTGTATGTCATCCTTGTGCAGGGGCCATGTTAATCTTCTCTGCATCATTCCAATTTTGTGCTGCTGTGCACAAAATATACTCATTAAGTTTAAATTCTAGGTGTTTTAAATCAAGACAAGTTTATAAGCTCCACTTTTTTTTTTTTTTGAGACAGTGTCTCACTTTGTTGCCCAGGCTAGAGTGAGTGCCGTGGCGTCAGCCTGGCTCACAGCAACCTCAAACTCCTGGGCTCAGCAATCCTACTGCCTCAGCCTCCCGAGTAGCTGGGACTACAGGCATGCGCCACCATGCCCGGCTAATTTTTTGTATATATATATATTTTTAGTTGGCCAATTAATTTCTTTCTATTTTTGGTAGAGACGGGGTCTTGCTCAGGCTGGTTTCGAACTCCTGACCTTGAGCAATCCGCCCGTCTCGGCCTCCCAAAGTGCTTGGATTACAGGCGTGAGCCACCGCGCCCGGCCTATAAGCTCCACTTTTAATGGCTAGATCTTTTAAGGCTAGATCTTTCCAACAGAAGGCAGTGCCAAAATGTAACAATCAATGCCTGTTGGATATATAGTTGTCTCTCCTTTCCACACTCTGTGATGGGATGTTAGATGCTGCTCTAAGGCATCCTTAATCACTATTTCTAGATGTTCTATTCTCTTCTGGACTAGGCTACATGGGATGAGCTCCCAGTTCAATTACTTGATTCATAGCAAATGTGACCTTGGGTAAGTTACAAACTGACCATCCCTATTGCTTCTCTCCTCTTTGGTAAAATGGAAATGATAACAGGACCTCTTTCTTCATGCAATTGGAATAATTAGAGTCAATATTCAGTAAGTGCTATCTTAAGTCATCATGATTTTGTTTAATATCTATACTATTTATTTTTAACACACTCAAAATCTGGCAAGTTCTCCCTCATTACTTTTACTTTTCAGAAATTTCCTGGCAAGCCTTACACTTTTCCCCATAGTAATTAACTGAACACATCTTTTTTAAAGTCTATTTTGACTTGTCTGTTTTGACTATTTTGAGTGAATTTTTTGTGGAAGTCGTAAAGTTTATGTATACACTTATTTCGTTACATATGTTTTCCGCTTAATTCTTCCATTCAGCGCCATTTTTCTAAAAGACAGGGTGGCAAGCCCCATCTCACTTTGAATGCAGATCCTGGCACTGAATTTAACTGGTTCCACAGCATGGCCAGGAGAGGGCGCTCGCCACCGCGCTGTGAGCGCCAAAGGCTGCAGTGCCCCGGAGGCGAGCAGGCGGAGGAGCGCCCGTCCTGCCCTCTGACGTCAAGCCCTGCGTGAGAGGAGGCGGGGCCGCCGCGCCCGTGGTGCAGCCGCGCAGGCGCCGCCTGGCTCGGACCTTCCGGTCCCCAGAGCTGAGGCCCCAAGGGCCAGTGAGGCCTTCCCGGCCCCGGAGCTGAGTTCCTGAGGGCGAGTGAGGCTGTTTCCTCCCCGCAGCTGAGGCGCCGAAGGCCTGCCGGGCCCCAGTCTCGCGGCACCAGGAGCCAGCGAGGCCTTCCTGCCGCCAGGCCTCAGGCCCTCAGGGCGAGTAAGGCCTTGTCCACCACAGACCTGAGGGCTGTAGAAGACTTGCTGTGTAAGTTTAATGGTACTCATTTAGTAATGAGACTGTGCTCAAAAGTACTACGCGATACACGTAACATAAAATATATTTGCGATTAAGTATTATATTCCTATGAATACGTTTATTCTTTAAATGGGGAAGAACTCCACCGTTCATAGTAACGTCAAATTGAAGCCATTTTTATAGGTCAAAGAAATTGAATATTGGCATTTTTGTACGATTCAACCTCATAGCATTGGTCTTCAGATTCTCGGAGTCTGATTTTGGAAAAACAAAAGCGAGGCCAGGCATGATGGCCCACACCTGTTATGCCAGCACTTTTCGAGGCCGAGGTGGGAGCTTTGCTTGAGTCCAGGAGTTCAAGACCATAGCAAGACCTTGTCTTTACAGGAGCCGAACAGAAATCAATAGTTTTGATATACATTTAGGAGGCAGAACTAACAGATCTTCTTGTTGGATAAAATTGGGGAGATGAGGGAAAATGAATAAAAAAGGTATAGCTCCTGAATTTTTGGACTGAGTACTGGGAGGATAGTGTTGCCGATTAGAGATGGAGAATATTTGGGGAGGAACAAAATCAAGAATTCTATTTATGATGTTAACTTTGAGTTATGCCCAAAACATGCAAGGAGGAGTACTAGATAAGTAGGTGGGTAGGTGTCAGGAGCTTGAGAGAAAGGTGTGGACTGGGGTCATGCATTTGACAGTAGTCAGCACGTAGACGTCAGGATGCAGCTGGATGCCTTCAGAGAGTGTAGACGGGGAGAAGACAGACATCCAAACAAAAGCCCTGTTAGAAACCTAAATATTAATAGAATAGAAGGAGTCTGCAAAGAAGACCAAGAAGTTGGCTTGTGAAGGAGGAAAACTAGTTTTGTGTGGTGTAAAGAAAGTGAAAGAAGAAAATGTCTTGATTGTGGACCATGATCTATCATGCCAAGAGTTGCTGAGAAGCAAATAGAGGAAGGCAATGGGACCTTTGGAGCTCATTGGCGACAGAACAGTCTCACCGTTGGGGTGAGATGAGGCCATGTTGGTGTTAGAATGCTGATTTCTTCCCCTACTTTGGAAAATAAATTTAAGAGAAAAACTTGTATATGTTTGAGAGTCATCCTCGTTGACCAGGAGGCAAGGTTATAGGGAAATGTTTGGTAAAGGGGACTTAGGGCTCTATCTGCTACTTCTGTCCAGTTCTGTTCTATGCTTGTGTCTGTGTCCCTCCATTAGTGTAAACAATGAAAAATGTTACCTCTTTCTGTCGGACAGTGATGGCAGCATATTTATTAAGTGCCATATATTCTTTCCCCACAAGGGCTCTATGTATAATATTTAGATATTAGCACTTAAATAAAACGTGTATTTTTATATTCATAAATTTATTTAAAAATTTAGGAACAAAAGCTGGGCTTTATTTTTTAAAGTCCTGAGGATTATCAAGCATAGAGAAGAATCACAGAGGTAGTGAGAATGCCAATGTGTTTAGGCAGACTTTGAAAATACAATATCTGAGTTTAATTTCACTCACTAATCTGGATGATTGTTATTCAAATTCAATTCAGTACCCACCATGCCCCTGTGTTGCGTGTACTGGGGTAATGCACACCCCTGCAGGACATACATGATGTATGTATGTACATGACGTATACTAAGTACCAAGTAAACAGTAGCTATTAGGATTATTGGGCAACTAGTGAGCACTTAATAAAGATTTATTCATTTGAAAAGATAATAAATAGACAAAATGGGATTTTATTATCAATACTTAAAATTTCAGTTCTCACTAAACTTAATAAGCTCTTTGGCTTATTTAGAAGACAGAAAACAGTGGGAGAGAGGGGATTCCTTGGCATAATATTCCATGTCACTGTGTAATTAAAGCAAAGGCAAAACTTTTTTTTTTTTTTTTTTTTGAGGCAGAGTCTCACTTTGTTGCCCAGGCTAGAGTAGCTCACAGCAACCTCAAACTCCTGGGCTCAAGCAATCCTGTTGCCTCAGCCTCCTGAGTAGCTGGGACTACAGGCATGTGCCACCATGCCCGGCTAATTTTTTCTATATATATTAGTTGGCCAATTAATTTCTTTCTATTTATAGTAGAGACGGGGTCTCACTCTTGCTCAGGCTGATTTCGAACTCCTGACTTTGAGCAATCCATCTGCCTCGGCCTCCCAGAGTGCTAGAATTATAGGCGTGAGCCACCATGCCTGGCAAGCAAAACTTTTTTTTTTTTTTCTCTTTTAAAAAAACCATGCTCTTGAAGCAAGCAAAACTTTTAAAGCTAAGTAGAAGGTTAAACGTTAGCATACTTGAAGATTGCATTGTTGTTTTTTTTTTTTTAAGACAGAGTCTCGCTTTGTTGCCCAGGCTAGAGTGCGTGCCTTGGCGTCAGCCTCACTCACAGCAACCTCAAACTCCTGGGCTCAAGCGATCCTGCTGCCTCAGCCTCCCAAGTAGCTGGGACTACAGGCATGTGCCACCATGCCTGGCTAATTTTTTCTATATATATGAGTCGGCCGATTAATTGTTCTATTTTAGTAGAGACAGGGTCTCACTCTTGCTCAGGCTGGTTTCGATCCTGACCTCGACAATCTGCCTGCCTTGGCCTCCAGAGTGGCTGGATTACAGGCGTGAGCCACCGCGCCTGGCCGACGCTTGCATTTTTAAATGCCCAAATCCCAAACATGTCAATATGTGCAGAGATGCAATTTTTTATACTGTTTAAATTAATTAAAGTCATAAGTGATTTTTTTTCCATCCCGCTTTTTATTCCTGCATAAAATGGACATTCACCAGGGATTACCAGTTCTTTGTCTTGTTGAAAATAAGGAAACAGTATTATGTATTCAATATTTCTTACCTTAATAAACATCATCTTCAAGGTGCCCTTAATCTCATGTAAAAATGCCACTAAAGTGCTTTATAAGACACAGGGGTCACATTTTGGCTGAATTAAATACATTCTGGGGGTATAATTTTTCAGCACCTCTAACCCTGGTATTTTCCCTTCCGAATTTCTGATCAAAGCTCTTTTTTTTTTTTTTTTGAGACAGAGTCTTGCTTTGTTGCCCAGGCTAGAGTGAGTGCCATGGCGTCAGCCTAGCTCACAGCAACCTCAAACTAACTCCTGGGCTCAAGCAATCCTCCTGCCTCAGCCTCCCAAGTAGCTGGGACTACAGGCATGTGCCACCATGTCCGGCTAATTTTTTCTATATATATTAGTTGGCCAATTAATTTGTTTCTGTTTATAGTAGAGACGGGGTCTCGCTCTTGCTCAGGGTGGTTTCGAACTCCTGACCTTGAGCAATCCGCCCGCCTCGGCCTCCCAGAGTGCTAGGATTATAGGCGTGAGCCACCGCGCCCGGCCTTCTGATCAAAGCTCTTAATACAACTGGTAAAGTCCTCTTAGGTCTCAGTGAAAACTAAAATATAAATAAAATGAATATGCCTGGTAACATAAGTGCACAGAAATTTTTGTCTACTGCTTTAGTGGCTCTAAACTCACAGACAGTGCATTAATCCAAATTATATGGTAGAACCACATCAGTATTAAAGGTCTATTTCAGTGTGTTAAATTGGCCTAAATGATAACAGAGGTTCTCAGGAAATGTGTCAGTGTGGAGAGTGAGGCTGACTATTTGCTCTTCGTGCCAGCGTCAGCAGAAGGGCTGGGAATGTGCCCACCCTCGTGCTTCAGCCAGCGGCAGTGATGCTTGATGAAGGAGTTTTCTACTGTCTCGTTAATTGTAGTACTGGTCTCAGAGAATTTATTCAGAACTCAATGCTATATTTAAGTTGAATTAAATATAACAAAAGAAGCTTAAAAATATTTCATTTCATCATTGAATCTATTAAGTTTAAAAAGGATTTCTTCTCAACTTTCAGGGTTCACCTTTATTTGGAATTACATTTTTCCTTCTTTGCAATGGCATTCCAAATCAGTAACATTATCATCTTTGAAAGGCTGACATCATGGAATTTCTTCATCTCCAGACATGGCCACAGAAAGAAAAAAACACAGTATGTGTTTTTAATTTATTCTTTTAAATTTATTCCTTTTCAGTGGTTCAAGTAAATTCTTAAAGTAGCAAAACTACTTGTTTGCTAATTTTTTATTTTTTATTTTTTCTGGAGTTTTTACTGAATGGTCTTCTATTTGTGGCCTTTAGGATAGCAATGTCAGTGGTTCAGGACAATGTAGCTATTGAACAGCCAGAGCAATAGCTTAAGATGATGGAGGGAGTGGAAAAAGTGATTTTTGGTGGACACTAACTGTAACTTTAAGCAGGTTTATTTTATGAATAAAAGTGCTTGGTATAATAGGAACAAGACTCTATACAATAGTTTGCCTTTTTAATTCTTAACTGCATATTATTTTTTACTTCTTTATTAGCAGATTTCACCACTGCATGTGTTAGCCTACGAAGTCTGCTGTGATCCTGGGGAGAGACTGATATGAAAGCAGACAGCCTTTCTAGAATTTAGGTTAACATAGTTAGATTCTAGAAGTTTACCAAGGTATTACAATTTCTAGAAGATAAATGATTAGAGTGTGTGTCACTAATTTATAATTTTGTAAAAACATGACTGAAGTTTAATAGGTGGTTTACTTTTTCTCTCATTTTCTCTCCAGCTATTTCCCTGCAGCACAAAGATGTGGGCTGCCAAGCAGGGGTTTTGCGAGGGGCTTGTCCAAGTGGGGAGGGCATGAGAGGGTCCAAGCTGCTGGCGTCCGTGCAGGCAGGGGACCAGAGCCCACCTCTGGGTGCCACCCCCAGGAAGGCCTGCTCAGAGGGCCCTCCTTACTCACACGTTTCCTATAAAAGCCTAAATAGGAAAATTAATACATTTACATACAATAGAATTCCATGTTGCATCCTTCATGCAAAACAAGAGCAAGGAGAAAAATATTTTTTCTCCAGATTGTCTTCCCCGTTTTGTGTTTTCTTTGCTATAGCAGAGACACTGCTCATACGTATAATTCCACTTCTGTAAGGTGTTGCAGCTTGTTAAAGACTCAGCATTACGCTACAGGTGTGAAAACCTGACAGAATCTGACCAAGAGCGGATGAACTTCTGGCTGCACGATCACTGTCTTTTCTCTGGCTGCCCTTCTTTCTGTCCCTCCCTTCAGACCTCGATTCCTAGTGTCAGTCACACTGATCACCACGTCATCGTGGACAAGGGCAGCCCACTGCGAGCCACCTGGCCACGGCCAGCTCCTGGCAAGGGAGTGAAGTCGGCCACCTTCTTACCTTTTGGACTTGAAAAATCCATTTTCAGAGTTGAAGTGAGTGTCTGTTGTATCTTTCTCTTGTAGAGAGAAGATACAACATAAAATAATTAGCATAAAATATTATAAAAATTATGCATAATTCTCTATATATTTTAAAATAAAATAACACTTTTTGTATAAAATGATAATTCTAATAACTGAACATAGAAACAAGGTTGCAATAGCATGCCTGATGAAGTAGAAAAAGTAATCAAAGGCTTATGCAGTATATTTTGTTATTGCAGGAAGATAAAGCAGTTTTCCCCATATGCATGCACATAGTCCTGTTTCTGACAAGAAACATCATTTCACTTGGGCCATTTCTATAGAGGAAGGTGCTATAAACCCCACTGGTTATGGAATAGATAAATATCTTTTTTTCCCAGAGAATATATTCTAAAAATGTAACAATGCAATGACATGAAATAGAAATAAATTCTCCTATATGAACTGACTCTATTCTGAAAAAGATTTTTTTTATTTCTTTATCAGCAGAGATAAAGGAAGTTGCTGCCTTTTAAAAGTTATTTATGGTTGTCAGTTGCCTACTACTTCATCATTCTTTCTCATCAGAAGTTTTCTTTCATTGCCTTTGCAAAATTTGTATAGATTGCAGTCTTTTCATCAGAGTGCAGCTTAGATTCCACGCCAGGCCAGTGAGCCCTCTTTTCCAACTGGAGGATCCCGCTCACATACAGGGTTCACCTACGACTCTCGCTCTCGGCAATCATCTCCCACAAGGGTGCAATGTACACAAAGGAGAATCAGAAAGCTTTTCTCGGCCAAGATTTATTCTTGTCAAAAAGTGTTTTGTCATGTATGTTGATATACTTAAGGGTTGAGTCTTTCCTTTGAAAGAAATTGCTATTAAAGGATATTCAGATGTACTTAACCCTGGAAATAGATTCAATAATGGAGTCAACAAAGACGGAGAAATAAAGTCTCTACATATATTGATAAAACATTGGGAGTTTTCTCTCCCAGAAGACACTGTCTCCATGTACTGTAAAGAATTATCTCTTTTGATTCCCTGCGGATCTTGGTACATGGGCTCCAATTGTAACTATTAAACAAACCTCCTTGCATATGCAGCCTGTATTTTTATGCCTGGCCGGAGGGAGTAATAACCCCATAGCCACTGCAGCCTGCTGTGAGGTTGCTGGGAGAGTGGATTAGCTATGCCCGTTTTGATTTTGAATGAGCATACCCCCTGGCAACCTATGTGGCCAAAATAGTTTCTTACGTGGCAAGATTACCACGTTTGTAGAACTGGTGGTTCACCCTTACAAACACCTGTACATCGATGGAGCTAAGCTTTCCTTACCAAAAGATGCACAGATGAAGGAACAGAACTCTTACACTTTTGCCTGCATGGGTTTTTGTATTTCTGTTCCTATTCCCTCTCAACCATCGTTTTCTTGCTTCTATCTTTTAAAAGAAGCAAGGGACATGAAGACATATCAACATGGCTTTGCATTTGTTCTGTTCCTACCACATCTCCAGGAAAATCAGACCAATTAGTTTACACAAATTATTTACATCGGGATGTTAAGAATCCGTGAAACCAACTGACTAGGATTTTGTGTTCAATTTATTACTCATGAGCAAAGTATTTGCCTGAGCCTTTGCCCCACTAGTTACTGACCCTGATTTTCCCAGTAGAAATGAGCATATTGTTTGAATGAATTTGTGGCCAGTTGATGGTTAGGCATACGGGAAGGGAGAATGTGTGGTTTCTGCCCACTTACTAGAGTTGGTGTGTTCCAGTGTCAAAGATCTTGAGAACACTGGGGAGGTGTTGGTTCTGCTCAGGTGGTGGGTTGAGATAACCTAGACTCTGGCGAGTGAATTTCCGACTTACTGTGTAATATATACAGCAGTTAAGGCTTTCCCTTCAAATTGAAGTTTGTGTATCTAGAGATCTGTAAATATGTCCTGGTAGAAACAAATTTGAATTAAATCTCTTTCAAGACAATACACTTTTACCAAATTAGAAAGAGGAGTTAGTTAAAAATTATTGATGAACATTAATAGCAGGAATAATTAAAATCCCTAAAGTGCCAATTCTAGTACAGAATTGCTGTAAGAAGTTTCTCCTGTTGCCAGATGCTGATTTTCAGAGACGTGGAGGTTAGGGTGTGGGCTGTGTTTCCTTTCCTTTATCCAGGAGGGATATGTATATGTACATGTCTACATATACATGTTCAGTATGTGTTGTAATCATTATATCAATTTGATCTAGAAAATTAGTAATACATTTATGTGTAAGGAACTGCTGATTTTCAGAGAGGATTAAAAGGATAAAATCTTCTTTTATTTTTATTAAGAGATAAAGAGTTGGAAATCTAATTTCATCTTTATTTTCCTTTTTCTTTTTCACCAAGAAAATATGGTTTTTATTCTATTTCTTTCTTGTTATATGGACCTGTTTTTTCTTGACTCCTCCCACCCCAGGTTATATGTGGCTGCTTTCTATTTATTCTATTTATTATTTTGTGCTTTCAATTCTTAAAGCCAGTCAGCAACTATGGCTCTGAACCACTTCTTTGCTGTTGAATCTTTTCTAGAAATGAACTGACGCCAGTTAGAGCATGTATCTATAACTATAGACTTCCAGTAAAATCTGCCTTCCCATAATACTTTCATTCACATATTAAAATATAAATGTACACAAACACAAGTACTTAGGGGAATTTTCTATTTAAATAAACTGACTTAAGTGCTTTTTAATCCAAGGAGTACTTTTTTTTTTTCAAGAGACAAGCTCATGCTCTCTCACCCAGAATGGAGTGCAGTGATGCAGTCATAGCTCATTGCAGCCTCAAACTCCTGGGCTCAAGCGATCCTCCTGCCTCAGCCTTTTAGGTAGCTGGAACGACAGGTGAGTACCCACCACTGTCTGGCCAATCTTTTAGATTTTTTATAGAGACAAGATCTCACTATGTTGCCCAGGCTGGTCTCAAACTCCTGACCTAAAGCAATCCTCCTGCCTTGGCCTCCAAAAATGCCGAGATTACAGGCAAGAACCATCATGCCCAGCCAAGAAGTACTTTTATATTGAAAATATATACCCCTGGTTTATTGGGGAGCAGCAGGAAAATAAATGTGATCTTCTGGCCAAATCTAAATCATTTATCACAAAATCATTGAAGATTCTATATCAATTCCTCTAAAATAGCTGGTTTTTCTCTCTGTTCTGGTTGTGTTTTCGTGCAGACACATTCATCTCTTTAGATCCTAAAGGTTTCAACAGAAACATGTTTTTCTCCCTTTCTTTTCCAAAGCTGTTGTGCACAGTAGCTTTTAGAGAATTATTCTTTATCTGCCATACAGAGGTCTTTGAAGACTCATAAATCTTATTGATGTCTTTTGTTAGAAGAGTACTTACATATTTAAGAGACAGCTGAAATATAAAATTAAACTTCTCCTAGTTTGTCAAGGGTATATTTTTTGTTATAACTAGATTCACTATGCCTTCATCCTTTAGGGTTAGTTGTTTAAAACAATTTACTCTGTGTGTAAGTGTGAAGCATCACAACTCACTTGTTCCTGATTGAGCGTAGCCCAGGACAAATAGCACTTCTTTCAAACTCTGAAAGAGAGAAGGCCATCTGTCTGTCTCTTCCCAAACTATGAGATGAAACTGGTGGAAATAAAACATCGCTGTACATTAAGGAAATAAGGTCAGCTCCTCTCCCTCCCTCCCCCAAGCTCCTCACCCGCCTGTTTCCCCTCTTTCGGAGGCTTCTCCTCAGAGCAGCAATGCCCAGGAGAATGCTCTGAGATGCTGGAGTGTTCTGTGTCTGCACCACTAGTCGTGCAGGAGTGTTGAGCATTGCACAAAAAGGCCAGTGCCATCGACAGACTGATTTTATTTCCTTAAATTTAAATTTTAGTGGCCACTGGCTATCATATTTGGTAGTGTAGCCATGTAGTTGGTTAAGGAAATATTCGTTCTTCTCAGATAGAATTTTGGAAGATCATAATTCTTTTTTCCCAACCCCCCCCCAGAAAGATTATAATTCTTTTTCCACGACAAAGAATAATCTGAGCAATTATTAGAATGTGACAATTTTACATTTAATCTTTCTGTAGTGTAATAACTTGATGTAGATTTAAGAACTGTAAAATTTATTCTTATGGCTACATATGATAATAAGAAGTTTTTAGTCAAGGGAACATATATTCCATAAAATATATTGGAGATAAGAAGTGCTGTAACCATCATTATTATGGTACAATAATAGAGTTGATGAATCTTGATATCGCTGATAGTATTGTAAACAAAAAGTAGTCTAGCTAATGTATTATATATTTATTTATTATGACTTTTAGAAGTTGTCAGCTCTGCAGTTTGGTGAGACATCACATACAATTGTCATTTAATACTCTTCTTCATGTGTTAGTAGGTTTTCTCCTACTGTTTCTCTTAGCTCTTGCATGTGTTTTTTGTTTTTAACCCATTGTTAGGCATTGTCAATCTCACCAATTATATTCAGCCTTTGTCCTATAAAGAAATTATTGCATTGCAAAGAGATAATCATTGAGTTGTGTCATCATTGAGTTGTGTCATCTAATTGAGTTGTGTCATCTCGAAATTTTTAATACATTGATGATGGAACAACATTGTACTGAAACACAAATGACACAGGGCTGTGATGCTTGAAAGAAAACTTCACAATGTCAAAAATTAAGCTTCATTTCATGACTGATGTACAGTTCAAAAAATGTCACCAAGTTAACCTCTCTCACACAAAATCAACTCAGTTGCCAAATCTATGTACAAAGTTAGGGGAGAAGAAACTACCTGGGGAACGCCTGGGGCAGAGGACGGCTGTGAAGGGAAAAAGTCTACTTGCTGTGTCAGCCACTCCTGCCACAAGGAATCTGACCCCGAGTCTGCAAGAGCCTTGTCACTGAAACCCGCATTGCAGTCCCCTGGCGACAGACGCCCCGCTGGTCTGCTGAAGGCAGCACCGGGGCTGGAGCTCCCAGAGGGACGGGACTGTCCATGCTCTGTCCACTTAGGTACCGAGCCCAGCTGTGTTCCAAGATTTTAGAGTCTTTCATTGGAAAAGGTTAGAGAACAACTGCAGAGAACAGCCCTGGCTGGTGTATCAATCTTGGTGCTTCCGTTCCCCCGGAGCTTGGTTTTGTTTCTCCACCCACCCTCCCCTTTGGGGATGGATGAGTTCTATTGTTCATCGCTTTGTGTTTTTTATTTTTCAAGTGAGAAAACCCTGAGAACTGAAGAACTGAGAATTTTTTTCTTCAGAGCTCCTGTGTTATCATGTTAAGTTACATGGTATTCTTTATTTCCTCATTAAGTGCATTAATTTCTTTTTTTTCCTTTTTTTTTTTCAAGCTAGGTTCATGCTTTGAGCATTAATTTCTTAGACATATGCTTTGTCTGCATAATAGTCATGGATGTAAGTTTCATGCACACAAAATAAAGAAAACTTGAGAAGCCACGTGAAAGGCTTAATATAGGAGGTTAAAATAAACTAATTTAATTAATATTATATATTGCTATTTTTTAAATTCAGGTAATAATAAAGGGGAAATAAATTAATATCTTCTTGTGCAAAATTCTATTTCTTCCCTGTCCTTGTGTGTGTCAACAGAAAAGAAGCCAAACTCTGTCAAATATTTTTAAAGAGGTTTATTCTGAGCCAAATTTGAGGACCATGGCCTGGAGCCACTCTCAAGAAACCTTGAGCAAGCAGACTCACTATGGCTGGGTCACAGTTTGGTTTTATACATTTCAGGGAGACAGGAATTACACATAAAGTCATAAATCAATACATGGAAGGTATACATTGTTTTGGCCCAAAAAGGTGGGACATTGGGGGGCGGTGGGGCTTACAGGTTATAGAAGAGTTTAAATATTTTTTGATTTGTAATGGGAAATGAAGCTTTGTCTAAAGGCCTGGAATGTTTTAAGTTAAGGTAAGAAAGTCTGTAATAGAGAGCAGCCACTGGACAAATACCCAGACTCAGGTGATCTGTTAGGTAAACTGATGACCTGGAGGTGTGGGTAAGCTTTGTCTTGCATAGCCTCAGGCCTGTTACTGAGTTACAAAGGACACTTTTCCCTGAAAATGGAGGGGGCACATGATAAGGCATGTCTGACCTCCTTGTCATGGCCAGCAACTCAGCTTCAGGGTATTTGTGGGGTCCCCTTGGCCAAGATAGCGTCCATTCAGTCAGCTGGGGGGAAGCTTAAGATTTTATTTTAGTTCACATGTATTTAAGGAAAATAATTATCTCTTCCATATTAACGTGCATCATTCATTTTAGAACTTTTCAAGTGATTATCAGAAGTTTTCTAAGTTATTCTAGGCAAGGTTTATCAAAATAGTGCACGTGAAAAAGATATATTTATTTGTTGACAAAATACTTTATTTCAAGCTTCTGGTTGGTTTTGGTGGATGACGATTTATCCATTGATGGTTTAATCCGCACCTTGACGTTGCGGGTGTCTTGGCAGCGGTGGTGTGTGAGCTGCGCAGTGTGCGGGAGAGGATTTGCAACACGCACTCGTGGATGCTTAGGAACGGCTCTCTGTGATTCCGTGTTTGCGAGGGGTGATGAAGACTACCAGCCAGCAGGGTACAAGAGTCTATAACTTCTTTTCTTTTGAACTCGGGTTAGCTGGCTCCCTTCGGATGTTAGGATTTATGTGCCACAGGAAGCAGGAACTTCTTAGCCCTTTCTTGTTAGCAAATAGGCTCTGACCTAGGATTAGTTTTTCTTTCTTATCACTGCTGACATATTTTTGGTCATAAGAATAAAAATCCTATTATATTCATGAAAGTGAGACTAATCAAATGAAACAACCAATTTTCATTTCTGTAAATAAAGCTTTAAATCATTAGCTAGATTACTAGATGTCAGGGATCACACGAAGTGTTTAGAAACCTTGATGCCCAGAGGCAGAGCTGCATGTTTAAGAACAAGGAGCTGGGGCTAGAGTTCAGGTCCCACAGAAACAGCCAAGTCTAAGGCCTCAGGTGGCTCTAGAAATGAGGAAGTAACAATTTTTCTACAAGTGGAGTGAAGGCTTCTTGTGATTCTTCACCCATTAAGATAATGCCACACAGGTAGCCTTGGGGTTCATGTTTTCTACACTGCATTTCTATGTGCATTGCATAATTTAGATGTGTATTTCTTAGAGACAATAAAGTTTTACACTGCATTAAACTTTTTTTTTTTTTTTGAGACAGAGTCTCGCTTTGTTGCCTAGGCTAGAATGAGTGCCTTGGCGTCAGCCTAGCTCACAGCAACCTCAAACTCCTGGGCTCAAGCAATCCTTCTGCCTCAGCCTCCCGAGTAGCTGGGACTACAGGCATACGCCACCATGCCCGGCTAATTTTCTATATATATTAGTTGGCCAATTAATTTCTTTCTATTTATAGTAGAGACGGGGTCTTGCTCTTGCTCAGGCTGGTTTCGAACTCCTGACCTGGAGCAATCCGCCCGCCTCAGCCTCCCAGAGTGCTAGGATTACAGGCGTGAGCCACCGCGCCCGGCTTTGCATTAAACTTTTATTGCTTATCAAGTCAGGCACCATAGTTCCTCTGAGTTAAATTCTTTCTCTTACTAATATTAATAACAGCAACCATTTTGCATAATTCCATGGGCTATGTTGATTTTCAAGATGCCCTGTGAAGTAACTATTTTTATCCATTTTTTATGTAGAAGAAACTAAATTTCAGAATTTCTAAGTGGATTTTCCCAGATCACACACCCAAGTCTCTCTGAATCCAAGGTCTTTGCTATTCGCCTTCACACTGTACAATTTCATCTCTGCAACCCTAGGTTGTTGGACAGGAGAGAGGCTGAGTCCAGGAAACTTCTTCCCTCCATGTTCCCCTCATTGTCATGGAACATGTGCTGGTCCCTGAGTACATCTGAGCCCTGTGAGTAATAAATAGTCAGCGTGTAATGAGGTTGTTGGACAGAAGAGGGGCTGAGTCCAGGAAACTTCTTCCCTCCACGTTCCCCTTCATTGTCATGGAACATGTGCTGGTCTCTGAGTACACCTGGGCCTGTGAGCAATAAATAGTCAGCGTGTAATGAGGCTTGCAGGTGGATTTTCTCTACTCTTTGCTGCTCCTTTTCCTTTTTCTGCTACTGGTGTGGCTTTATCAAATTGGAATAGAAGAATGGAAAATAAAAGTAATCAATAATGGTATGATTCAAAGACTAGGTTGAGGAAAATCATAACATATGAATAAAATTTAGTTGAGGGATCTGGACTAATTGACTCATTGTTATTAGTCTACTTTGGCTGCCATAATAAAATTCCATAGCCTGGGTGGTTAAGCAACAGAAATTTATCTTCTCACAGTTCTGAAAGGTGGAAAGTTCAAGACCAATGTGCTGAACAGTTTGTTTTTTGGTCAGGGCCTCTTCCTTGCTTGGAGACAGCTGCCTTCTCACTGTGCCACATGGAGGGCGGACAGAGAGAGCGAGCTCAGAGAGCATGAACAGAGCATCTGTTGGCTCTTACAAGGGTGCTGATCCTATTGCATCATTGTATCAGGGCTGTATGCTTATACAGAAGGCAATATCTTCAATATCGTCACAGCTTAGAGCTTTGATATTTGAATTCTGGGGAAAGTTCAGTCCATTGTACTCATGGTTTCCCTGTTCACTATACTGTGCTTGTCTGCAAGCAAAGTAGGCATGTCATTGTCTTTGAAGTCACATGACCAGTCCATAGCTCAAATAATAAACCATTAGGAAGGGATTTATAAACATTTTAAAATAAAGTTTGAATATCCCAGTACACAAAAAAATCCCTAATAAAATTGGTCATAAAAAATATATAAACATCTAAACAATATAAAAATTTATATTTGTTATACACAAATATGTTCAATTTATTACTAAATTGATTATCATTTAAGAAGATACAACCATTGTTAACTATTTCTTCAAAAGCAATTATCTGGCTCAAAAGTGCTTCAAAATTACAATTGATATACAATTATTATAAAACAAATTTCACATTTAAACCAATCCAACCTATATTCTCGCCAAAAATAACTAATTGTACAGGTCATGATGAGAAATATTAGCTTTATTCTTTATAAAAATTTATTAGTTACCTTCAAAATCTATATCATGTGTGTAACTATTATATATTCAAATGGAATGCTGCCACTAAATTTTTTATGTTGATATAAAAACTTTTAAATGGCTGC